GCACCAGGGATCAAACTCAGGTTGCTCGAGTAAATTGAAATAAAAGCGAGCAATGACAATGAATGAAAGGGCTGTAATAAATCATATATAAGATAAAATTTATTTTCGCTCAGGCTGTAGACTAGAGAGATAGATAGAACCTATTTGGTAAAGGCAGTAACAGCCACAGCTTTGAAGATGTTTCAGATACTGGATTGTATGGTGTGCGGGAAGACAATGAGCTCAGCTGATTCGTGTACGGCTAGACGGAACATGTACGACACAGATTAATGTTCACACTCTCAACAATCGGGTACACACGCAAAACAGAAACAAACGTAAGACGCTCGCCCTTTTGCCACACACGGAAAGAAAAGAGAATACTTACTTCTTCGGATCCTCTGTACGCTTTATAGTATCATTAACGATCCTCTTGCCCCAGGGTATCTGAAATCTAAATTTCAGCACCTGGGTACCTCTCATTGCTGCAATCTTCGATCTGCTGGTAATCTTACGTTGCTTATTCCTTCTCACAGTACCGGTTTTCTCTCTAAATCCTTCGCTGTTACAGCTGCTCGACTCTGGAACGCCCTTCCTAGTGAAATTCGAAAATCACCGAATAAATTTATTTTCAAAGCTAAAGTTAAGGAATATTTTAATTCGTCGTCTTATGATCAGTAGTATGGATAAAGTTTGATAGATATTTCCGTTTTATGTACGTATATATATATTTACCTATTATAATATTTATTGTTGTAAGTGTTTAATAATTGTTATCATAATGTATGTATACATATTATATAATCCTTATATAGCTAGCACCTACACTTCTCTTTCACTAACTTTCCGGTTGGCTGGTAGAAAATGCCTTATGGCATGAAGCCCGCCGTTTGTACCAGTTAGTACAAAAAAGTGTGTAAATAAATAAATAAATAAATACTTTATTCAAATTAAGAAGCCTTCTCATCTCAAAACTTATTTAATATGCTCGCTGCCCAGAAACAATGAGTTGTATTAACATCTTTTGTAGCTTTTCCTAACGAAAGAATTTTTAAGGGACGGCAGGGCAATCGCGGAGAATTCCCGCGCCCACTTCGCATAATTACGACTTGCAAGTTTTATTTGCGATGTGCAAATGTCTCTCCGCCAAAGAACTCCCGCAGACACGCGTTAGCCCGTTGTTTGTGTGAGGGAATTAAACCCAACACGGGTTGCACCTCCTGGGTCCTATTCTGGACGATTTCTTCGAGCACAAGTTTTCATATGTAAATGGATGTGCACATGTACTTCGAGTTAACTTTGTCAAGCTGAAAAACCATGATCAGATAACAAATAGTGCATATTTTTGAAATGTATATGTAAATCGATGATAAATTTGCGCTAATGTATAATTAATTTGGTCAAAAAGAGAAACCAATACCAGATTATCGGGATAGTAAACATTGAGACATTTTTTGTGAACATCAATAACTACTCATCGCCTTTACTAAATCACATTAGATACCTTTTAACCACAACTTTTTTATATATTTAGCTTGGTATTTGAGTTCTCTGGGCTTTTTAAAATTCTTTATTACAACGAATGATTTTCGTGTAATGTTTAAAATCTATTTAGTTATGATATTTTCGATACTTCTTTTTTTCATAATCCAGTTCTAAGTCCGCAAAATCTGTTGGTGATATTTGCGCTGTATATGTTGAGAATATACCAAGGCAGTTTTCCACCATTAAAAGCGAAAAATTGAGTGGGTATCAGATGAATGAGATCATTAAGTAAATGACATAGAAATTAAGCACAAAGGTAGCATACCTGGAGGATAATGAGAAGACAACTATCACGCGCAATATTTCTCATGTCGAACACCCCCAGAGTAATCCCTTGGCAGGTGGACCCGCCGTGAGCGCGACCCAGATCCTTTCAGCTCATTTGCAGCATCTCTGTTTGCCATCGCAATAGACTGGGACCCGTCTAAGACGCCGTCAACGACCGCTCGAGACGTCCGTTGCGCTCTTCGACTTTCAGCCCATTGCGATTTTAACGCTTCGTAAAAGTTTCTAACGCGTCAACGCAAAGTAAATATTTCGTCTTGAGTGCAGAAAATAGCAATATGAAAATTGGTATCCTTTGAAATGTAAAATTGAATTTTCAATCATATTAATTAAATATCCCGAAAATTTAAGTGACATTGAAGATGACTTTCGTTTTTGCCCTCGAATTTTGGCAATTGTAGAGCAAACAACCTTTCTTTAGCAAATCATTCTTCTATGTTCTAAAGAAACAAAACACAAATTAATGAATTTCTGGTTATAAACTACAAAAGAAAACTCCAAACTTCAAAACTAACAAAGTCCTGCACTAAATGGAAAAGCGTAACCCAAAAAAGAAACCCTTTCCTCAGTTAAACACCGACAATAGACCGACATCAATTAATCGAAAGGCGAAATGAAAATAACCCCTTGGTTATGCTCTCCATCATTTATCTCCCATCCACGCCGACACTATTCAGTTAGCCCCCTCGACAGGACGCGCAGCCTCCAATAACTTTGAACGCACAATACAATCACGCGCGATTATAAGCCGGCAAAACTTTCACATCTTAGGCTTCCCAACTTTCAACTGTCCGAGGCGCTATAATGCACCCTATTGCACGGCGATAAAGACTCATAGGGTCCCATACTATGTCCATAGTGCTCTCCAATATTGACAGTAGACACAATTTCCTGCGCAGCGAGCAAACACATCGGATTCCGCACAATTTGACCCTAATTGCAGACATTTTCGAATCTCCGGAACGACAGGAGCGGGGGCGCCCCTGTGTATTTTTAGCGTCTTCCTGCCCAGTGTAAACGGTACTGCGCGACTCTTAAGAATATATGGAATGACGGAACAATTAAAAAGGATTCCTTTTGACATGGGAAGATTGAGCTCTACTCAGTAAACACAATCATTTATTTTACAGAAATATCCAACACCCACATTTTATTTGCGTTTTGAATAGTTGAGTAGTCGCTAAAACTCGAGAACGGCTGTACCGATTTGGCTAATTTTGGTTTTGAAATATTTGTGGCTGACCAGGGAGGGTTTAAACGATGAGAAATTATGGAAAAATTACATGGAAAATCGAAATAGCATAAATTTTATTTTCCCATACAAACTGTACCTGTCAACTATGTGTGTGTAAACTGTCAAACACTTTATGCGTACGTTCCGATTCTTCTAGAAATAATTTATATGGCAAAGCAACGTTTCCCGAGTCAGCTAGTTATAAATAAATTTTCTATATCTTCTATAAGAACTATATAAGAAAGATTACCATAAATTCGTATAGGTTTACAGTTACAAGGTTATAGCAAAAGTCAAGAAGAAAGTTAAGCTAACATTTCAGTCAGACGACAAGAGTAACATTGTATCATGAGTTTTTAATACTAGTAGTGCCATCTGTTGGCTGTTTAGCATAAAGGTAACAACATATGTTATAGGTTAAAAAGTTTGAAAAAAAATTATGTCATATCATGTGATACGTATGTTAAAATGTAATAATGATAATGACTTCTTGTATTTATTCAAATATATCCAATTTTATTTCTCAACGTTTCAACACTACAGAGTTTGTTTGCTTTACAGAAATCCATTATAGGTAGTTTTATGTATTAGGGTCATTCAATTTTAAATATTTCGACAATGTAACACTGACACAACATGTACATTTTCCACGGTTAATTATTAATCTATAATATAACATTATTTATTACCATAACTTTATAATGTAACCAAAATTAGCTATACTAATGATAAAAAATTATATTTTACAAATATATCATAAAGATACATAAAGAAGTAAAAACATCAAACGTTAAAAATTAGTAAAAAAAATATTAAGATAAAATATATTCCCAATACCTTAACTGCAAAAAGTGTGCGTTGGCCGGGAATCGAACCCGGATCAACTGCTTGGAAGGCAACTATGCTGACCATTACACCACCAACGCCACAGTCAGACGTAACAAATTGCAGTACAATTTTTCAACAAATTAATATGAAACATGTTTCATAAGTACATCAACTTTTCACTATTATTTATTACTAGCTTTTCACCCACGGCTTCGCTCGCGTTGAAACCCCTAAATAAATAACTTTTAAAAAAGATATTTTTTTAATAAAAAAGAATCCTATATACTTTTTAATACCTCTAAAAATATATGAGTACAGTGAAAGCGTAACAAATAAACTTACATTCACATTTATAATCTTAGTAAGGATTATCATTTATTAATTATGTGCAAGTAAACAGTACATGATCAACTATAAACGTTTATCAATTTGTGAAGGTTACCAAAGAAACTTTTGGGTTATGATTTTTAATTGACGTCACTTATGGTAAGTTACTATTTTCTTTTCTTAACCGGTGCTATGTTATTACTTCCGCAATGGACACCTACAACGCCTGCGGGTTTTGGATACGTTTCCCGCTTTCAAAAGAGTAGGCCAGTTGCCTCACGCACCAGGCGAAATGCAAAAGTATAATATTTTCATCTCACGCCGGTCTTCTATAACAGCAAGGTACTTCCTCGGGTGAATTAGTACAGCTATTCGAGCAACCGTAGTTGCTCCTTTTCTGTGGCGTGTATTTATTGTCCATTGACGATTTACTAACCAAATGGGTCATCAACGTCATGCTCTAGAACAGAACTAATTAAAAACACAGCTTGGATGACAAAAAAAAAGAAACGAGGGTTTGCTCAGGCACAGCATTCATTGCGCGTCAAGTGGCCTTGATATACTTAATGCCTTTGTGCATAAACAGCACCAAGTGTTCCGCGCGGGGAAACAACTCGTGAACCGCCCTCGAAACGGATCTCAAACGATTAATTAACCGGTTGGCTTTGTTATGCAGATGCGAGCGGCAAGGGCCGATGGCGAAATCGCGAACCACTCGCGGCAACTACTCTTTTGAGCGGTAAACAGTTTCGAGTCTAAAGTTCGCGTACCGCTAAAAATGCGCCGCGTCTCGGGGTGGCTAATTAAACTTGCAGCGGTGCCGCAGGGCTGCTTGACACCCCGACGGCCGCGGGAGACAATGCGGGTGGGAGGGCGCCGCCGTAATCAGGGCTAATAGAAACGCGTGTGCTTTGATCTGCGCCTCAAAGAGACAAGGGCCGAACTCGTGAGACGAGAGCGGGGTAGCGTGCTGTAGAGGCGGCAGTTTCACAGTATTCCCGCCGTAAAACTATACTTCGTATGTTTCCACGGTATTCGTTAAACACCGGGTGCGTTCCTTGGCTGGTAGTCGCTTACTATCAACTCGGAACATTATTCACCATCCCCTATGTTAAATACCGAACGATACTTATCGTTCTATAATCGAGTGGACTGATATATGTAGCTGAACACAAAAATTATCATTAGACATACATAAAAATTATCATTAGCCCTACATATTGTGAAAAAAAATTTTACACTCTTCCGCTCTTCTCCTCTTTCTCCTTTTCAGTTCTCTTCATTCTACGCTTGTACTTCAATCTACCATGGGCGTCTTCAAAACAGGGTGAATTAACTTTAACCGAGTTGTAACTACTACATCATCCCGAACTATAAATGCATACAGTAGCCAAGTACGAGCTGGTTGATGATGAAATTAACATGTAATGTCCTTACGATACAATTTTAACCAATACAAGATCATAAGTTTTCGCCTTTCGTTCACTGTGGCTGTAACACCAATAAAAAAACCAGTAATGGCTTCAAATTTGTACGACGAGCGAATCTGCAATTAAATATGTCTAATGGTCAATCAAAAGATCTATTATATATGGTCTAAGCGTGAACTTAATAATAACGCATATTTACATAAGTGTAACTTTATTACGTTATTTCAAAATTTTGCTGTCACGGTCAAAGCCAAGGTCAGGTCGTTCTTAATTCTTTTTGTGCCCTTATAGAACTCATATATGGTGAAAATCTGCCGGTGTAGTGAACGTCGCAATTGTTTCATCCAATCGGTACTTGTGCATAGCACTTGTGATGTGGTCAGTGACCTGGTTCTCACCGGGTAGACCTCGCGCCGCCTCCATTCCATTCCGAAGCCCCGTGGCGAAGAGAGCCGGGAAACTGAAGTGTGCGAGTGACGAACTCCGCGCTCGCTACGCCGCGACGCCTAATTGATTCTTTTGTGAGCCCGTCCCGCCGCCGACGTGACGCGTGCACGATTTTCTCTTATTTAGGCGCAATTCGCGAACGCCCTGGATCGAAGATGCTTTACCTGAGAGTAATAGAAATGGACGTAAGGTCAGCGAAGATGACCCGGTGGCGCCGTTGCTAAGCTACTGGTTATCGCTTGGTGGGTCGTGGCTTCGATACCCACACGAGACAAGCATCGGTGTGTTGTTCCGGATCTGGGCGTTTGTTTCCCAAGGACCCTCCTTGACGTCAGGGAAGCGGCCAGTCGTTAAAAAGAAAGCCAAAACCGCTTACAACATGATTCACATGTTGCATCGACCGCGTCTAGGTGGGATAAGGGCAGGAGAAACGGCATGAGGTCAGCAACGGTCATCGCTTGATTAACGCATCGGTATCATGTCGCTGTTGGTTTGGTATCACATTACGAGCTTAGACTGTCATTGCTTCTTGTGATTTATTATTTTTGTTACAATCAAATTAGACAGTATTCAAATCTATATATAGGAGATACCTATGTTTTAAGCTGACTTGAAGAGTTTTTAGTGATTTTGCGGTATCATTTAAGTACCATTATTAATTTTATGGTTACCACATACAAAAAAGCGTAAACATCGTGAAGAAACCAGAAAGTTCTCATGTGTATTCGAAGTCTGCTAATCCGCGAGGTGGGCTATCCCCTGATACCCTCTGTAAAAAAAGAACCTTTGTCCTGCAATGGTACATGACAAGCTGTTCCTTCACGTATACTTCTGTTAGAGCAAATGCTCAAAAGCTAACTCCTTGTTTGTTTTATTTCATGATGTTCTACATCTATTTTGAGTAGGTTTTAGTACATTAATATAGCCATTTACTGTCTCGTAGCATCATCATAAATGACCTCAAAAAATGACTTTTTGAGGTCATTTTTTATGGTATAATAATAATATATACATAAAATACTTTCTTTATGAGGTAATGCAGTTTGCTTACTAATGACCAAGATTCATAAACATGTGTTCAAGAATGTACGAAGATAATTCATTAGCCAACTGACATTTGACAACTTTTCACATAAAATAAATAAATAAAATAAAATATTTACCAGAATGACTTTGGAGCTTACCGGTTGATCAAATCCGTATTATGAACAAGTACTGTCAGTAGTAATGTTGTAATTACTGTGGTAGGGCCACGCAGCAGCCTCGGCTGTTGCACGAATGGGCAGGCCCCTCCGGGTAAGTACCACGACCTCACAGAAGACCAGCGTAAAGTGGAAGTATGACAAATACTTTCGCGTTTCGTCTGGTGATTGAGGTAGCCGAAGCCCAATTTTCAAAAAGTTGTCAACGCATCTGTAACCCTCGGGTGTAGCAGATGTCTAAGGGACGGCGGTATTCACTTACCATCAGGTGAACCGTCTATATCTATATTACGTACTAGCGACCCTCCTGGCTTCGCACGGTTGCAATGTATTATATACATATAAACCTTCCTCTTGAATCTCTCTATCTAGTAAAAAAACCACATCAAGATCCGTTGCGTAGTTTTAAAGATCTAAGCAAACATAGGGACAAATAGACAGCGGGATGACTTTGTTTTATACCATGTAGTGATAACGGAAGTTGTTTTGCAAATAATCTATTTGTTTATTATTCCTCTTTATTTTACCGTTTTGTTTACGATAATAATGAAACAAACAATGTCTAAAATAGTAACATGTTAAAAAATAGATATGGCTTCGTAAATTGCATGCAATAACTTCCTACCAATCTATGATTATTAATGAACATATTTATTGTACGGCCAACATCAACAACCTCATCTGAAATCAAAATTAGCCCATTGCTGAAACAAAACATATATTTCAGTACAAACTTTGTATCCATCGGGCCTACTTCTACACACACCATACGTTAAAGAATTCCGCACTTATATAATTTCCATATTCTGGAAACATCCCTAATTAATCAGTTATATAAGTCCCGTTCATCAGCTTCATTTACAACTTCTGTCTTCAAGATTTGATATCTGTCTTACAGCGAGAGTTTGAAGGTCAAGGAATTTTTATTAAAATAAAATTAAAAGTATTAAATTAGTCTGCAATATCTAGCCACCTTATTTCATATACGGCGACTCATGTGTAATAAATTAAAACACTAAAATAATTACAATTTAAATAAATACAAAAATATTAAAGTCGCGAGTCTGCTCCGGTTTCACGAAGCAAGAACTTAAAAAGAATTTAAATGAAGAATGCATCTTCATTAAATTTATAAGCTGATACAACACATTGAGTACTTATATTCCGTTAAATCTGGGGTTGCTGCCAAATGCACTCATTAATGAACATTTGTACCATTCATTGCATAAAAATTAGGGTTAGAAATTATGGAACTTTGTTAAAGATACATACGTAGATAAAATATTAACTCGAACAAAGTGGATTATTCATTTTTACAACTACGTACGATACCCGTAACAATATTTGTTAACAAGGAGCAATGATTTATTGGAGTAAGCAGAGATAGCTTATCGCACTGATAACGCGTGAAGTCGATTGGCCGATATTCAGTGGAAACCGATTTGATTAAAAATGACCAAGATTATAATTCTTAGGACAAATTTAATTATTATTTCCTCAATAAAAAAATATATTGTTTGGAACTGCTTATTTCTTTATGACCTCAATAAAAAAATATATTGTTTGGAACTGCTTATTTGTTTATGACATAGACAAATAAAATCCACAAACGGATATAGATCATAATATAACAGACCAATTACCACAACCAAAGAAATTGAAGAGCTATTGACGAAAACGAGAGATTTTTTAATACAAAAAAATCCCGCATAATAAGTGAAAGACAAAAGTAAAGTCTATGGAAATTGCTGTACATAATTAAAGAGGGAGATTTACAACTAAGGGGAGAGTCTATCGGAGCTCTGCATGCCCTAGCCCCCATTCAAATAAAACTTCTCAAAGGGATCAGTGGGATGTATTTAATAAATTTGAGACCCAGTTGCCCAGTGGTCTCAAAACTAGACGCTGATTCCTAGGTAGGGTACGAATCCACCAATTCGTAATACCTTAAATCAATCTCATTTTCAATTTAAGACTCTTTTTAACAAAAATTCGTAACTTTAACCTCATTTTGTTTAAGTATGACTTCCAGCAATTTAGTAGCTTTAGTACAAGCATTGCTTACTTTGGGACTAGAGAATGTTGTGTAAAAATGTTTCCTAAAAACGTTATTATATTCATGTAACATTACAGTAAGATAAAGTAAAACATTAAGAAGTAAAAGTTTAATTTTTTCGGGTAAATTAAAAAAAATCATACAGCGATGGAACAATGTTAAAATCTTGACCCTGTTTCTGTAATCTACTAATATTCGGATTTTAGTAAATAACTTGTGTTTTAATACAAGAAGAATTTGTTTCATTGATTTGAACCGTAGGATATTTGACAAAGTATTCACAAAGAGGATGGAAAAATGTTGAACCATACAGAAGTTGAGCTTGGGCAATTGATTGTAAGATGTCTTATTATCAATTGATTATAACATTTTCCTTTCGTTATATCAGCGATCGAAGTATATTTTAACTCGTTTGGGACTAACATACACTAACACACGGCCCCGTATCTATCCCCCAATCAGTGCGCTATCAACTGGTACACGTGTAAGCAAACAGACCGTCGCGTAGTCCAGAATGAAAATAATCCTCCTATTGCGCGGGAATTATCGTTTGTAAACAGCACTATCGCCTCCGGTGCGACCGACACTGATTGATCGTATCACCGCTGTTTACTTAAGAAACGTAATGTTGCCATGTGAGCGCGTCGAATGTGGAATCGTACCTTGTCAACAACTTTGAATCGCATCTCCTTCGACGATATTGTCGCCGGTTGCAAGGAGCACACTCACACACAAAGCTCTTAGTAAGCATCCTGTGAAGACTACGTAATGAATATTGTATCACAAAAACTCATGAAGAATTTCTACGGTGTTCTAACCACAGTCCTCCAACATTTTTAAATTATTCTCTTAAACAGTTTTCCCTTTGTTATCTGCATAACCATAAAAATGCAAACCAAGTGTTGTCTCTTATATTTTATGGAGAGTTCATTACAGAGTTCATAGTTCAACGATTTTGTCTTCTTTAAGCAGGAATCCATCTGGATAATCCATCTGGTTCTTCATCTAACCAAACTATTAATATTCTAACGCTACCACAGCAGCAGTCCTAAGGGCTTAAGTCTATGATTTCGTAACGATCTTTTTCAGAAATTTAAAGTGGCTGTACTTGCTAGTTTTCCTTTCAAAAAAACATTTTTTTATTTCGACATTTCGTCGATTGACAAAACGAAAGATTTTAAAGTGTCATTTTGTTTTTTAATTCCCGACGTTTAAATCATTCCCGTGACCAATAGGGCGGCAAAATGTGGGAACGTGCGAATTATAAAACAAAATAAAAATTACGACAATTTTATTTAATAGGTTATATAAAACTCAGATACCTTTTTCTTTACCAATACTAAACGCATGTAAAGTTGATTTAAATATTCCTGCTAGATCTGAATCCATTCACTACATACATACAGATTTAAATGAAGATTCAAATTCAATAAAATTAGAGAATCCAACTTCCCAATAAATTATTATAATTGTAATAAGAAAAGGAATAGTAAAGTAAAGTTACAGCTTATACCTGTCCCATTGCTGGGCAAAGGCCGCCTCTGCGGATTGGCGGCCTTCACATATCTTTGAAATATTTTTTTTTGTTATTATTTCAAAAATATGAATGTACCCTCACTCCACGGCTGAGCACGTGATAAGTCAGCACTTACAATTTCATTGTTCCCGGCACGGGCACTATCACGGTCCTATAAAGAAAAGGAATAAATAATAATCATTTACAATCAACGCAAAGTTATGCAGCCGCTGCAAAAGAACTAACCTCACTCCCGCGGCATCGGCGCGCGCAACGATGGACACTAACCTTGAAACTCGTAAATATGCTCCAATAAAAATACTGTAATAGCGCACCCATTTACACGTCAGCTTTAATGTTTGGATTATTCGGGAACAGAACCGGAGAAGGGCACCCACATTCACCACGGGAGAAAGCGGACTGATAAAACTAAACGTGAAAAATCACTCAAGTCTATATGAGAAATTATTAACACAGGTACGGTTAAGGCATACTGCTCTCAACATGACAGAAATTAATTATTAATGTACAAAAATCAATTCCAGTTGAAATTGATACGCATTACATATATGTAGGTACCAATACGTGTATGTATAGGAAGATTTCGACAAAACTTTGATGTTTGAATTTTGTTAAAATGTATAATAGATTCATCAAATATTTTAGAAAAACTTGAGTTCTCCATACCTCGTTCTAGCAGTCGTCTTAAAAATCGAAATACATTTAGGTTACCTTTGTGTAAAACAGTTGACGACAAGCATTTTCCAATTTATCGCATGTGCGCATCAAGTAATGCAATCCTTTTTGTTTTATTACTATTTTGTTTTATTAAGTTTTCATTCTTTTTTAAGTTTTTTTTCCATTTCAATTTAATACTGTTAATATTAGTTATTAAGTTGTATTATTATCCTTTTCTGTTCGATTTAAATGTATTTTGTGTCTACATCTAGAAGAATGCACTTATGTTTGGAACAATTGGCTTTTATGAACATATGTAAAGGTTGTATTCAGTTTTGTAGATCTTATAAAGAAAAAAAAACATATTGATTAGTTAAAAGTGATCAATGTTTTTTTTTTCTTTATTGTGGTAGGGCCACGTTCGCTGCTGTACGAATGGGCAGGTCCGTCCGGCGAGAGACCTCACAGAAGACCGGCGTGATGTGGAAGTGTCTGGCGAGTGAGGTGGCCGGGGCCCACATTATTACAAGGTGGCAACGATTCTGCAACCCTACGGGTATTGCAAATGTTCATGAGCGTTGGTTATTTCTTAACATCGGGTGAACCGCCAGCTCGCTTTCCACCTTCTCAGATAAAAAAAGTTCAAAATCAAATTTGTGACGTAAATGTTCCCGCCATCTCGTACATTAATTTCATGGGTTGACTTTACTGATACTAATCGAAAAGTTGCGACAAGTTCTTAATTGTATAGTTACGTTAAAAACACATTACAATAAAGTACTAAAAGTAGAAGTCACATGTCTCTAAAATTCAATGTAACATTAGTGGATTCCCTAATCGAACACAAAGCAGAGAAATATCTTGGTCCAATTTCCAGTGAATGAGGATAACGTACGGTGACGTACACGTGAACCAGACGAAGAACGATATTGCTGTCGGCGAGCCCGTTACGAAGCAATAAATACATCTGAACAAACAAACAGCGTGAGTAAATTATGATTGTCGATTGTACTACACACGTAAACACATTCGATTCTCGCTCAACACCGCCGCACTCCATGTGGTGTTTGTAAATCATATGCGTAGGTACAAATTGTGACGCGAAAATAAAAGTACATTAACAAAGGTAATAATTAGTAATCCATTTTTTAATTACATTCATTCATACAGTTATAAAATAATTGTATACAATTAATTACAACAACAGTTAAGCCAAAATATAGTGAGGTATTTGCTGATGATTCTCAAATTTGCCTCCATTACCGCCGCCATTTTGTAACAGCTGCAACGGCGCCGGCCGCCGCAACGTTGCGTTTGGAAACTCGCACCGCACGTCCGTTAGGATCGCTGACGGGCTGCAATTTCCGAACTGTCAGTCAGCAATGTACGCCGCTGTACTTCCTGTCGCTAAATTTCTAAATAGCCGCACCGCAAATACACCTACCTATATTATACCCACACTATATTAGTGTACGTAGATCCTACAAGTTTATATATATATATATATATATATATATAAACCTTCTGTGCGCGTGTGTGTCACTTAACCTCTCCTAAGCGGCGGACCATTTTAATGAAATTTTGTGTGTGTCTTCAGGGACGATTCGAACATGGTTTGGATTCACAATTCGGTCCACTACAATTGTCTTTTTAAGTACTTTTTTTTTGTTGTAGGATTTAAGTCGTGTATACAGGACAACGTCTGTCGGGTCCGCTATATGTATAAATTCTTGCATAGAAATTTCCTATCATTGATCACAAACACAAAATTATTCTTTTTATTAAAATACAACAAATTTAAACACATGATCATGGTTTCTTGAATTAATTTAGAATAGCAAACTTAAATTACTAGTACTGTGTACTCTTTATCTCAAGTAAGCATTTACAGGTTAAAGCACTGTATCAAGGCCCAATGTAAACAAATTAATCACCAGTTTGTTTGGACGGCCGGATGAGTAATTGTACAATAACCAGGCCAATGAAATATATCAAATATAAACGACGCTATCATATTTACGATGTATAAAATTGGATAAAAAATAAGTCGTGGGGGGCGAATGTTTGTTTAATTTTATATGAACTGTATTCAGAAAATAATGTGAGATGAGAAAAATGCGCAAAAACATATCGCCCCCGGGTGGGCTCGAACCACCAACCTTTCGGTTAACAGCCGAACGCGCTAGCCGATTGCGCCACGGAGGCAATTAACGGACACGACGAAAAACGGTACCACTTTATTATACGCTTTATATTAGAGTATTTGTGTGACAAAGACAGATATATTTCTAAACTATTCTACCTGGACATCAAAGAAACCTGTTTGGAACCTTTACGACCGGTCCGCAACTAAAGACACAGAAAAGCACAGCGATAAGAAACTACACACAAAGCCTTCAAATCTCAGAAATATCTTTAGAACACGCAGTTAGTTGGAAAGCGTATTGTGTTGCTCAAAGTTATTTAAGTTCGAAGCTCCTAGTTTGAGGTTATGTTTATAAGTTAAGTTCTAAGCTCACAATTATTGAGGAATTGTTTGAGTTTCAGTTGTGATTTTGAATTATAGTTCTTGTGTTGTAGGTTTTAATTGAAACTATAACAAAGATATTCATTGTATTAATAATCTTTTTGTAATATCCTCTTTAAAGTTTCGTTTATCCTAAGAACTAAATCTGTGCTAAGTACTTGCAAAGGCGCAAATTAAAAGCGGACAACGTAATTTTGGTGATAAAATTTTGTTACTCCTAACAAATTCGACTCGGAAAGAAAAAAATTGCCAATGCCAATGGCCAACCGGGTGACCGGCACCTGTTGCACAGCATCGGTGGAACGAGCTGGTCTGCCTGGTCTCCTCAGAGACTTGCAGCGGCTGTCAGAAGACCAAGACTCTGCGGACATTGTCTTCATACTCGGTACTTCGGAGGAAAAAGTTTATGCGCACAGAATAATTTTGGTGGCCAGGTATGTTTAAAGATGATTATTTTATCAACATTTTAAGATAAAAATGAGTAAAAAAACTTAATTGTTAAAGCTTATAACAAAATTGCAAATATTTTCATTTTAAAAAACTCTGGTGTATTCATGTATAATTTTAAAAGGACAAAAAGATTTCCCGTACCGGGAATCGAACCCGAGCCTCCTGGGTGAAAGCCAGGTATCCTAGCCACTAGACCATACGGGAGATGTCAAGTCAGTGAAAATATTGAAACATATATTATGTTATAGGTTTCGGTAATGTAAAATTTTATAATAGAAAATATTTTCTATATCAGAATTAATATATTATGTATTAGAAAATAAACTGCAATACGTTTATCTTATGAAATAAATTCTTTGTAAATATCACATTATTATAATAAAGAGTGAGTAGTATAATTGAATAACATTTTTAACCATAAAAAGTAATACCTACCACGAAAAATACTTATTAGGAACTTTTCGTGGAAATTTTAGGAAAATCTTAAACGTGTTGCATTAAATCCTTAATGTAATTAAATTAGCTACCTGCTTAGAAATTTCAGTAAAGAGCAAAGAAATTATCTCGCTTCATGAATGCACATAAATTTACCGTCCCGGGCGTTTCAAATGCAAATGAATTTTAGCGCTCCAACGTCAAATCCTCGTAATTACCCAATGAAGTACGCCTCAAGTTCCTTAACGACTTAAAAGGAGTAATTTGTAAATTAATATTCATCGTTACATCATAAATTCTAATTTCACCTAAGTTTTTAACTTTTTCATTCGTCACGGTTTAATTTTAAAATTGAGACAAGTAGTGACATCTGTTGGTAGGACGCATAAAATAGTTTTTAACTTAGTAGTACTAGATGGCGTTGTTATTAAAACATGTTAAGTAATTACTTAATAAAAAGGATTAAATAATTTCTTTTACCTTTAAAAAAATTAAGTAATTTTACTTAAAACACAATGATGTCCAATGAACTTCAGAATGGAATACTTGTTTACCAAAAATATGAGTATTGTCAGAAAGTAATTATATTGATACACGATAGAAGGAATACAAATTTCTAATAAATAAATGTATTTAGCGCTAACATAATAATAAATATAGGCGTTTTGAGGACATTATGGATTCAGCGCATACTGAATCCAATATTCTCCTACCTTACACTATTACATTATATAAAAGATTGGAAACAAGTCTCGTGCTACCATTAAAATTTTTCAGTCTGTCAATAATAGGATATAATGATACTTATTTAGAATAAAAATACTTTATTCATCATGTCTTATTTTTGTTGTTTATAATTTCTGTATGTCTCGTGGTTTTTATTATCTATGGAATCAAATAAAAAAATACTTTAAAACATACTTTTAAAATAATAAACACATACCTCATTCCCTGTTTATATTCTAATAGAGGAATAGAAGATGCGCATCGTGACCAGAATGAAAATATTGCAGTTAACCTGGCTCTATGGCGTTGACTCTCTCTGGTGGTATTCCTATTACACAAACACAATCTATACAAACGCGACTAACGCGCGGTTTCCGAAAAACTGACCATCGTAGATGTTAACAGCTATCAAAAGGGTTTTTTAAATGTAGATTTAGATGCCAAAAAGATGGTTTAACTCATTGAATTGATCACTATGATCATTAAGATCATTCTGGTCAATTCAGAGAGTTTAACCATCCTTTTGGCATCTAAATCTACATTTGAAAAGCCATTTGACAGCTGATTAGTTGACATCTACGATAATCAGTGTTTCAGAAACCGGATGTAAGAATCTTAAGATAAACTACTGTAAAATTCCATGCGAAAAATTAGTAATTTTATAAAAATTTTGCACTTCAAATACATTTTGTATTGTATGCATGTACTTAATAACCACGTTGACTTTATTGTTAATCCCAAAACTGTATCATTGTTCGTTTTCTACTTCCCCATACTTATGGATAAGTATATAAGTAATCCTTACTTCCTTATTAGTCCTTACAAATATAAACTTAATAAAACTTACTAAATAAACGTGAAATTTTGTTTATGTATGGATAGTTGTTTGTACTCTTTCACGCAAATCCTACTGAATGGATTCTAATGAAACTACAATAATATAGTTTACACATCAGAATAACACATAGGCTATAATTTATATACATATTTTATGTATATCTGTCTTTCTGTCTGAATGTAACGCCTTCAGCCTATTCTACGCAGATGAAGTCGCGGGCAGCAGCTAGTTATAAAATAATGCTGAAACAGAAAAAAAGGAAGTGTCTTGCAGTCGCACACTTGCCTCGAATTTTTCCGTTGCAATAATTCACTACTTCATAGAATATTCCACCATTTTTTCTTGACGCTCTCTGAGCAAGTAATCAGGGATAAAACGCGCGCCAACGAAATTACTTCGCGAACTTTCCTGAAATTAATGCAACAACGCTGGTACATTATTAATAAACGGGAGCGGGCGCTTATCGCCGGAGCCTAAGATTGATGGCGCGAAAGTTACTCTCTGCGGACGCAACTTAGGGCATCAATCAGGCCTCAAGTCTGCAGATGCTATGCTGCTCACTCGATTACACACCGCGCTTGAATTCGGCACAGATAATTTAAAACAGCAAAGATGGTTCTTCATATTTTTTAATGATTTCGATTCGTTTCGCTAAATCACCATATTTAATTGAAAGATTCAATAAATTGATTCTTACAAGATCTGCGTATAAACGTGTTGATTTGTAATAGAATGTATCTATAATACATATTATAATTTATAATCTTCCAACCGTTGTTACAAAAATATACCATCCTAAACTAAGAAAGACTAAGAGCCTCATCGTTCTAACGTGAGGTATAAATAATATAATTCCTTCGCATACCCTCCGAAGAACACCGGGACGCTGGCAAGAAGACATAGATTTAGCGGCATAGAATTTTAAATAGGTAATTATGCGCCAAAATGTAGGCTAAAACATTGCAACAGAAGTTTGTTAAAAAGTCTTAACTAAGTATTTAAAGTACCACGGCTTAGACTTTTACAGGACAATAAATATTCATAAAGCACAATATGAACTTAGTTTTTCTTGCATGAGTAACATTCGGGGTTATATCCGTACAATATTTACGCGGACAGCGCATATGAGCATGTAGAAAATTTAGTATGCAACTAACGTATTACCTTAAATTTGCAATGGGATATTCCATTTATTTTAATCCTCAACAAGGCTCGCAGGGTGTCCGTCCAACTTTCGGCATAACTTGAGAACTTTGCTCTCAAACTTGTCGGTTTTTCCACGTCCGAGCCCCCTGACCACATGTCGCGCCACAGCTCCGCCTGTTTACATGCAAATTTCCGTATGTAAATTGGTTTTTCTTACAACATAGGAATTGCGCAGTCAATCTTGTCGTTGCCAATTTCAGATGATGCAAAAAAAATATGTTGTGCTTCTTCTGTGTTCTCACAATAACTTCGATATAGTGTATTTCTAAGTATAGAAATGAGACGGTCGCAATGGGGTTGACATATCCAAAAAAGGATAAAGACCCCAAAACAAATTCGGATTAAAAAATAAAAAGAATTGGTTCTACTGTACCCCTACCTACATTTTATGCATGAATTCTTTACGAAGATCCATTAAGTACACTATCGGTAGTTTTAATGTGAGAAGGTGGCCTTTACCTGATGTTAAGTGATAACTGCCACCCATGGACATTTGCAACACCCGTAGGGTTGCATATAAAGTGGGAACCAGAATTATAACACTTCCACCGCACAACGGTCTTCTGTTCGTGCAACAACGAAGACTGTTGCGTGACTCTACCACAACCCAGATATGCATCATTTTTAAATATAAGCAAAACTCTAACAAACTACAGTAAATTATATGTGTTTAAAGCTTTTACAAAAAATTAGGCTCTGACCCGGTTCGCGTATATGAAAATTTTAATAATTTTCCACGAGAATTTGATGATTTCAAATGGAATTGTTTTGCAATACCCGTAAAATTTTAAATATTTACTGATGAGTATTCTGTTTTTCGGATATATTTAAAATAACTAGTGGTCGCGAGTGGTGCACCATAATTAATTTAAATTATAAGTTAACAATATTATTCTATTCTCATATACATTACACCACAAACAATAGAGTAATATGCGTGTCATTGTGTGTGTGGGTGTGTGTGTCAAATACATGGTAGTGTGGGTAATGTTTTCTATATTGATTTAATGTATTTTCTATGCATAATTACAAAATAATAGCATTCAGCGCTCTTCTATATCTAAACTATAATTGTAGGAAATTTCATACTCCTCTGTCCGCGCAATTTTCGTAAAAAGGGGTACTAAGTTTTTGCTTCACGTATTGATATATAGATTCCGGGAATTCTACCGATTTATCAATAACATTGTCTGTCTACTCTGACAGCTTAAAACCGTAAGCTTTTATGAACGCGAGTACAGTATATCAGAATAATACTTCCCGGAAAAGCGACATTTCTTTTCGTAGCAAGGAATGTTTCATCTCCATCGCAGCATCCGATCGTAACGCGGAGCCGAACAATGGAGGTCACCATGCGACCGAGAGTAATATATTAGAAAATCTGATATTTACCCGTGGTGGCCCATTGCGCCGATATTAGATATTGACTGAGACATTTCTCTATAGAAATACGCTCCGTGAATCGCTCCCGCCGGTTACGGTCGAGGGAACTAATTTTCTCACAACGAAACATGTCAAGATTGACTCCGCAACTGGAGAACATATTGACTTATAAAATTATGTTCTGTGGTAATAATCTGATATCGCAACATTGTCTTCGTGCATATGTGCATTCCGTTCTCTGAAATGGCTTTGCCAGCTGTCTATCAGTCAATCAAAAGCAGTTCTGTATTAATAAAAATGAAACTATGTTTTCTCCTACGAATTGATCAATATTATCTACACATTAGCGTCAGTTGTACTACGAAAGGTCTCTTTCTTACAAAAAGTCTCCGCAGCAAATTTTGTTGTTATATTGCTTTTGTATCATTTGACGACCCAATTGGCGTAGTTGTTGTCTCTGGCGCCAGAGGTATGGGTTCGATCCCCACTACTGGAAAAATATTGTGAAATAAACATAGTGTTCTTGTAGTGTCTGTGTGTTTATATATCTACAATATGTATTTAAAACTATTTTATTTATTTATTTATTTAATGTTTGGAATTATTCCAATCAAAGCTACATTTAAAATGATTGTGCACCTATAATGCTTTAATGTAAGAATTGATAGATAAATATCCAACTTATTTATATACTGCATCGTTTTGTTTACGCCTATGTCACTGCCGAGCGATACATTGGAGTAATTGCGTTCGAAGGCGGTTCCTGTCGCTAATTCCGAACCATTCAACGCTGGCGCCTAGATGGCGCTGCTCGCCAAGCCGCTGCTCTCTAATCGCTCACTGAATTACACCCTTTGAATGGACCAATTTAGTGTTTCAACATTTTAAGGAAAATAACACCAACATAATAATTTGTTTTAGTAGTACTTCTTTAATTTTCTAAAATTTAATTAATTTAATTTAAAGTATTATATGAACACTCTCATTTCTTAACGCTTTTACTAATAATTTTAATTTAAATATTATATTTTTTTGAACATCTTTCGAAAAATATAGGAAAGATGGACGAAAAATTTTAAAATCATCATCACAGAAGCACTGATCAATCATTAATTTGACAATAATGCAGTCGAATATTTAATTTACTGTCATGTAGGTTTACAGATAATAAAGGTAGTTCATGTGCGTCACCTACAATACCGAGTATATGAATTCGAAGAAAAAAAACTTTTATGAGCCAATCCAAACCGAACCGTTGACTTTACTTATTATACAATATAACCTGAAGGAGTTAAAAGACGTAAGTTGTGTATTTTTATCTCAAACTCGCTTGTTTAATTGAATGACGCGTACCATGATTCAATTTTCTTTTATGGCTGCACATCGACGCTAAACCACAAAAGTCCAATTATAATTGTAAAACTAAAAATTTGTTATCGGTACCTAAGTAGGAAAAACAAATCATCAAATCTCTGTGATTATAAACACGAGCGAACAGAATTGTACATGTTTCAATGGGAATAGTTAGCGTTACATACCGTACATAGGTACTCATTAGGAAATTCTCCCGCGCGACGTTTCGTGTTTTGGCGCGCTTTTTGCGACACCAACTAACAGCTGCTCCGCGAACTGTTTTAATTGAATTGGGAATTGTCGCGTGCCGCTGCTATTCTTCGGCGAACAATGTTCGCGATTCCGATGTTTTGTTCGCGATTGTGGCGGTGGCTGAACGATTGCGCCACGCAGTGCATCAATGTGTTAACGTTATTTTTACACTTGAATACGCTTTTCATCGGAGCTGATTATATTTTGAGTATGTTTAAATAGTCTTAATACACTTGTCGCCCGAAATGTAATCTAAACTAATCTAACTTTTATTAAAAGAGGGAAACTTGTGAAACAGGTCGTATGTTTACATATAGAATGAATATAGATAAAAGGACTAGAACACACAATGTTTTAAAGTTTTTTATAGATAATAGATGGATATAACAATATATGCGACAAGCATTGCTTCAAATGCTAAATAACAATGTAGAAAGAAGGCGTTAAGATTTTCTTCGCTGTGGCTATCAGCCGTTTAACTCAGGGGCTAGAGCGTCAGACCGCGAATGCCGAAGACATGGGTTCGATTCCCACAGCAGCGACAATCTTTTCGTACTTTTTCTACATGTTTTAACACATAATGTTCTTAAATTTACATATCGAATGATTTGTTAGACACCTCTGCTAAACGTTTTTATAAGAAACTAGGGACCCGTCCGTCTACGCACGGGTGCAATGTAATCTAGATATAAGTCCTCCTCTTGTATCACTCTATCTGATAAATAAAAACCGCATCACGATCCGTTGCGTATTTTTAAAGTTCTAAGCATAAATAAGGACAGACAGACAGCGGGTCGACTTTGTTTTATACTATGTAGTGACTAAATAGTACTTACTACGATCGATAATAAATTCTAGCTTATACACTCCCGAACCTTATACTGGGATGTTTTTGGTGACCAATTTTTTTTAAATGACAGAACTAAAAATAAAGGTGACAAAACGAACAGGGCTGAAATTAACAATGACGAGATTTAACAGCTAATAAAACCCTTTGAGACGGATAAAAGCTTTGAGTGTTAAGACTTAATCATTATTTACTTGTGTTTAATAAAGCGAGCGTAACATAGTCACGAAATGTGGTACCCCTGTGGTGTATACTATAGAATCGAGAGTATTTCTCGATCCGTTGTGGGGTGTTCGTCCCCACGCTCCCAACTTTTCTCGTTTGCCAACAAACTGAGTCTATTTAACTTCTTTTTGCTCGAAAACATATTTCAATTCCGGCGACTGTAATTATTTTCGCCTACGCTGCGCTCCGTTCCACTCCTCGTTTAGACGGAAACAATTGAATTTGTAATTTGTACAAATTAAACGCTGGATTAATGTGGAGTTTACGAATCATTTCATTTCACACGGCACGCTTTGTGTAGCACAATGACAAACACTGAGGAATATTTGCTGTTTATTATCATTTAATGGTTCATTATCATTGTATTACAAATTTGGGCTTACCGTTTTAGTCGAGTTCATCATCATCGTAGATCTAACAAGTTAATATACTATGACTTGCTCGAGAAAATTTCTATTGTAGTTTTTTTTAACGGTCCGAATCCCCATCCTTCTTATAGGGTGTACAATAACACTAAATCTAGAAGACATTACAGACCTCACAACCACGTATTATGCAACCCAAAGGCTTGATATCGATTGGTGTTTTTAACCTCTGAGTATACCGATGTTCGGGCGCAGGGTTTTTATTCAAGGTACTGGAGCAACCTGGTAACGGTGATAGGGCCACACAGCAGCCTCGACTGTTGCACGAATGGCCTGGCTCGTCCGGGTCAGTATCAAGACGTGGGTCAGTATCACGACGGTCAGTAGTATCACGTAAACGTAGTGGTTATATTCTCTTTGATCACGACCTCTCAGAAGACACGCGTATAGTGGGAGTATGATACTTGGAATATGCGTTTCGTCTGGTGAGTGAGGTGGCCGGAGCCCAATTTTCAAAAGGTTGTCAACGCATCTACAACCCTCGGGTGTAGCGCATGTCCATGGGCGGCGGTATTCACTTAACATCAGGTGAATCGTCTACTCGCTTGGCAACTTTTCACATAAAAAAAAACCTGAGATCCCCGGTCCTCTCACCAATGAAATTATTAATTTTAAGTGCTGACTTTTTTTCAGCGGGGAAGGAAGACATCATGAGAAAATTTACATATTTCCTAAACAAAAAAAAAATACAAGATATGTAAAGTCCGCCAATCCGCAGTGGGGCCGCCTGTGCCTTAATACCCTCTGTACAGAGAAGGCCAGTGGTACATATATAGGCGTATATTTACATATACATAATTAGAAATCTGCGTGATATTTAATTCCTCCAACAATTTTTCCGTTCGCAGTCAATCCATTTACCGCTTTTACAGTATTTTATGCTCATGGACCTCCAACGTTTGAGTTCTCATAAAGGGGTTCTATTAGACAACGTTCCGCTGTAATTTGTTGAGGCAACCAGGCGCCCATCGCTGAATAGAGCACAATTACGGACGTCTGATACATTAGTGCTTAGTTATAATATAAATATATACTAGAAGCAACGGACGTCATGTTTGGTACGTTTTCGCTCGAATCTTATCAAAGAAAGTGCAGTAGAATTTGGATATCCAAATGCTATTTTGATTATAGTTAATTTCATCAATCATTTGTGCTAATTTATTCATCAACACTAACTTTTATAATTGTTTCTTGTGTAACAAAGCTTACAACAAGTAAGTCTACAGTCTTTTATGTCTGTCTTTTTTGTGTATGTAACACATTAATAAAGTCTAAGCATCTTGATTAAAATATTGTGATAATTGCTAAAAGTACGTTTTTTTAATTTTATATGCGAGAATGTTTATCCAAAAATGAATTATTACTTATTTCGTAAAAAATAATGTGATTTAAAATTAAAATAAAAATTAAGAAATTTTTTCATTTTTTTGAAACTTCACATTAAAAATAAACGCGATAAAAATAGTTTCATTTGTTATGTATAATCTCGTAAATACAAGAAATTATCACAAATTTTATGTTTTATTTTTATTATTATAAGAAATAAATTCGACAAAATCCTTATTTTATGCCCTTTAGATTTAGGTATCTATAATATACGATCGAGTAATGTAATATTTATTTCGTTTTTGATGGAGACAGAATGTTTACTTAAATAGTGTTACACACGAATATGGAGACTTTGCGGTACGATGGCAACATATGTTAGTTTTGTGCAGGCATGTTATCTGTCGTACTAAGCATCCAAACTTAGAGCGTGCATACATTCAGGGAAGTATGCATGCCAGAGACTGTGCTTGCACCGCAAACGTTCTGACAGCTTCCCCAGTAGCGTTTTCCGACTGGGAAGAGTTATGTTCGACTCGTGCTCTATACGTGTGCACAAATGCCGCGGAGACTTGTGATCCACTGCACAAGGATTTATCGCGCCGAATATATTTCGTTGAAGATAAGTTGGGTGCTCGTGGATACTGTTGCTCGATGCATTTTATTAAAACGACTTTCTGACGAAATCTTCTATTTTGAGGAACGAAGAAGAAACCTTCCTAATGAGAAAGAAACAACACGACTGAAGAGGTCTCCAAGGCCAATAATGGACGATCTAACCATAAAAGAAAAAGAAAAAGTACATTTTACGGTTATGAAAAGTGAACGAGCAGTCTTCTTACAAATTATCTTATTACCTATATCTGAGAATCGGTCCATAAAATAGTCCCTCAATTAACCTGTATGCGCTTTGTCAAATTATTTGATTCCGCTAAGGAGTCGTTCGTGTGCGTGATAGAGAAATTTTCTCATTTTACCTCATCGTCCCAAACGTTGCCGTGCATAATTAATTGTGTAAATCGATACATTCCATCGGGAGTCTAATCGATGCTTCCACTCGGTCGCCACACCCAAATTTGAGCTCGCGCCGTGATTAATCACCACGCCAGCCGCTTGGCGCGATACATCCATCACGATCATGCAAATCGAGCGGCGGTACTGTATTCAATCCGCCGATAAACCGACAACCCATCCCATTGGAGGATTTTAAGTGCGACGGTGCAAATAGCGAATGAAAATCGTCCATTCCTGAACTAATGAAACTAACGTAATGCTTGTAATTTTTTTTATGTTGAAAGTTGCCAAGCGAGCAGACGGTTCGCCTGATGTTAAGTGAAAACCGCCGCCCATGGACATCTGCTACACCCGAGGGTTACAGATGCCTTGACAACCTTTTGAAAATTGGGCTCCGGCCTCACCACTTCACCACACCTCACTCACCAGACGAAACGCGAAAGTATTTTTCATATTTCCACTTTACGCCCGTTTTCTGTGAGGTCGTGGTACTTATCTGGACGGACCTGCCCATTCGTGCAACAGCCAAGGTTGCTGCGTGGCCCTACCACCATCATAATTTGCTAATATCGATATCAATCTTGAATATACGTTATTCAAGGTAAGAGGCGATACAAGTAAAATATAAACCCACAAAGGCAGCGACGTAATTATTATGATGAAAAGGCTTGTTTATCAATCAACTTGTGTAATGCTAAACATAATCACTGAGAAGAGCTCAAACACAATTTGCAGCGGCGGCAGCGGTGCGGTCGCCATGATTGATGACGTCAGACGCGGTCGACCGGCACGCGACAGCGCGGTTGGTTCGTCTACCGGTTAAATGAATAAAAGCATTATAATATATAACAGTCGTAATATTTATATGAATTTAAACAGCAAAAAGTTTTTAATATTTGATTGAGACGCATAATCATATGTACTATCTATAACTTCAAATAATGCAAGCTCATTGTGTTGATCGTAGTACAATAAGTAGGTACCTATAATTTAAAAGCTGACTTAAACAGACTTGAAAGATAATATTAGGGTCGATCAATTAACCATACATTGACATTTGTTTTGATGATACTTTAACCATGTTAGGGCCACGCAACAGGTTTGGCTTTTGCACGAATGGGCAGGTCCGCCCGGGTAAGTACCACGACCTCACAGAAGACCGGCGTAAAGTGAAACTGTCATACTTCTGCGTTTTGTCTGGTGTGTGAGATAGTCGGGGCCAACTCTATGAAACGATGGCATTGCATGTGCAAACCTACGGTTGTTGCAAATATCCATGGGCGTCAGTTATAACTTAATATCAGATGAACAGCGAGCTCGCTTGCCGCTTTATCACCTTATCTACACTTACGTACAGGTATTCTGTAAAAACTGTCTAGGTGTATATTTATGTTTGTAAGATTAACATGTTGAATCGCAAAATAGAAGAAGTATTCTACATTTGCTTGTGTGATTAGCGTTGAAGCTTCCGAAAAAACATTTATCCATTTTAGGGCAATCTTCGAAAATAGCATTAGAGATGATCAATATTAATCATGGGCAGCGACACTTGTGAGCTGTCATCGAGCGCGCGTTTTCTCCATCCATCATGGCGCCTCTGGCTGGATATAAATTGTGCCAAAGCGTCTCACCGGATAAGATATTTCGTTTATATAATATTTTTAACAAAATTACCATCGAACTCATATTTCATGTCATATTAACATGTTTTTGACACATTTTGTGCAATAGTTCGGTCAGTCTACGACCAGTTCAACAACAACTAATTCGTAACTGACGATTTTTAATGTTTGTTAACAATTTAAATTTTTTCCCTAATATGTTATAAAATGGGAAGATAGCAAACTATCTGATGTTTCCATGTGTACTCATATGAGAAAATTAACATGTTGCCATCAGAAATTAATAGGTCTCTTCCTCAAGTAGCATAGATCCGGAAATATAAATGATTATTTCTAATAAAATACAATTAATAAGGCATGTTAGATATCAAATCAATTTTTTAAAATGTTCGGCATGAGCAGAGTGGCGCAGTGGAAGCGTGCTGGGCCCATAACCCAGAGGTCCGTGGATCGAAACCACGCTCTGCTATGTTTAACTTTTTCCTTTTTTAACGTATAACATTATTACGCCCAGGTTTGTAGGTGCATTGTAGAAGCTTAAGATGTGGTGGATACTTCCATCCCCAGGGGAAAGGTAAAATATAAAAACTTTAACTTCATATCAGTTTTCCGTTAGGCCGTGGTACTTTGCTGCCCACCAATTATTTCAGCACAGAGTTTTCGCCTATACAAGATTTTTTTATGCTAACAAAAAACTAAGATATCTTTTGTTAGTTAAGCTTAATTCTTATAAGTTTTGAACGCCTACATTTAATATCGACAACGAATATGCGGAATGTTTATATTGATTATAATATTAAGTAACAATTTATTACGTGTTTAACCAAGCTTTATTTAGTAACGAACGTGGACTTGAATCAAACACAAACATCAGAAACTTCTTGCTCCTATGGTTGATTTTCCGAGAAGTCGGTGACAATATAAATGCTTTTAAGTTAATAGAATACTTAATTTAATCAAACTCTTCCTTTTCAAGAGCTGTATGGAAATGGAGATCCAGGCCTGAGGCCTAGTCCCATCAATGGAACCCGTTTACTTTCCATGCAAAAGATTATTTTTGGAACATTTTTGCCTGGTGTACGTTTGGTGGTGTACGTTTTTAAGACTTATATTAATGTTTTCCATTCAAAAGTAAAAAAAACTGTTAAGCTTTTTACACCGTTAAGATATTATTATGACTGTTAAGTAGACAAGGATCGCGATTATGATATACCTAGCTCATAATTAGGAGGATGTAGTTCAAATATTTTAGCTATTAAATCACGAATAGTTACAAAAACTATTTTATAACACTACCGAATATAATTGGCACTAATGGACATATTTATCAGATTATTCTGTAAATTTTCACGCTCTTTTCAAATTAAAATGTTATTCATTTACCAATTAAACATTGTTTTTCTTTAAAATGCTTAAATGTATACTATCATCATCATCATCATTTCAGCCTGTTTGAGTCCACTGCTGAACATAGGCCTTCCCCATAGACTGCCACGAAGTACGATCCTGAGCCACCTTCATCCATCGACTTCCCGCACATTTGCACAGGTCTACTATACTCGCTAATAACAAGAAAAAGGATTACAAAGTGCAGTTTACTTGTCATTGATATAAATGTAATATGTAATCAACAAACAGCTTTGCATTCCAGAAGAGAGTAATACAATTTGTATAATCTGTTACAGCGATTAGATTACCAATGCGTCCGTCTGAGATTAATGATGCTTCACGAAAATTCACTAAACTTACGGGCGAATTAGTTAATTCGTACGCTCACAGAGCTCGCTGATTAATTGCATTGCTGTGATTTGGCAGAGCGCAAATAATGTATTGAGTGATTTTGTTGGTTCTGATAACGTTTGATATAATTTTGATGTACATTTTGAGACACATTCGATGTTACTGGACAGACAGCTTTAAAGCTCCATAACAATCTTTGGAAAGACTTATTTCTTTTGTATCTGATGTTAAGACATAACCGCCGCCCATAGACTTTTGCAACACACGTAGGGTTGCAGATGCGTTGCCACCTTTTAATAAGGTGGGCCCCGGCTACCTCACTCACCATACGAGGTCGAAGCTGTTGCATGGCCCTACCACAGCCAATCTCTTGTTCGTCCGGATGTACTTAGGTCTTGAGCACTTAAAATCGGCCCCTGTTTTATCGCCACCTCGTCCAGAAACCAAGCAAACAATATTGACTCCATGGCGCAGTTGCCAAGTTATTGACTTGGGCGTCCGGGGTCGTGGGTTCGATACCCACACGGGACAGCTATTTCTGTGATCCACATATAGTTTTTTCGCATCTGGGTGTTTGTCCACGTGAAATTTACGTTTTAAAACGTTCTTACTTCACAGGTTAATGTTACCCTAAAAAAAAATGATATTAAAATACAATTTCACTTCCTGGCTTTCTATCACATTTTCCAATAAAACGTCAGTTCATTCGTCAATGTACTGATCGTCTTCGATACATAACAGTAGAGTGGCATCGAGAAAGTGGGGTCTTTCCCGCCTTCCGGGCAAATATTGACCACGTGGCATATCGTGGAGCGTTGGAGCGCGATATTGGATGCCGGCTGGCGCCCGAGGCTGCCTCCTCTCTATTGCCGGGAACGGTGTACGTTTACCGGATAGAAGTGAACACGTGACGTCGTGTTTAAGAAATAACTGGGCTTCAAAGGGAAAGAAATGAAAGGATGTTTGCAAAGGATTGTAGACGTCAGGTTTGTAGGGAATAAAAGATAGGAAACAATATTCCGTACCTTCGATTGCTGCGTATTTTCTTTTATGTTAAGGTAAATAATTTATTGTGTTACGAGCAACTTGGAGTGCTCGTGGAATATGTACAGAAGTAACACGGGCACATAACGTAAACATATAAACATGGAAGTCTGTCATCACCTAAAGATTTCTTCAGAATTACCACTCTTCAATATCCATGCCTTGAGAGCGGTGATTGATCAGTGTCGGGACTCGCCTTTAACTCAATATACACGAGCAACTTGAGTTCGATCCCCGGTGCCAACACCGATGAAATTGTTGATTTTAAGTGCCGAATTATCACGTGCTCAGCGGTGAAGGAAAACATCGTGAGGAAACCTGCATATTTTGATGACCTGTACAGGATATTCATAGGACTGGGACATTTATAGGCTTTTACTTTACTTGACTATCTATGCATATCGAGTTTTTCCTATTCCACGTCGGTTACTGGTTTTTCCCCTTGCTCTATCTTGGTGTATCGTAAATCTGTCCATTTTCAACCATGAATTAATTCCGCCAACCAGGCGATCGGCGGGGCTCCACCCTTATGCTGTCGACGTTCCACGTACAAGAACAAAGCGATTCGCTTCTTCATTTATCATCCGTACAGCTAAGGAATGGAATAGCCTGCCTACGTCCGTCTTTCCGTCCGAATACAACGTTGGCGTTTTCAAGGCAAGAGTGAATAGGTTTCTACTGAGCTAGCGCGCTTACCATAAACGGCTGCATCGCCACTTACCATCAGGTGGGATGGCAGTCAAGTGCTAACCAGTCTTTGAATTAAAAAAAAATTCATTAGGAAAAAGAAAATATGTATTTATTTTTATTTGGTTCTAATCTTAAAAAGTTGACAATTTTTAGATTACTATTTTTTTCTCTATAAGAAACTAAAAAGATTTCGTGCCCTTTTTTGGATGTTCGCGCACCAACAATAAATCGATTCGGTAAAATATTTCTATGGCCTAGCTCTTTTAGCATGGTTGTAGTCGTAATATGAAACATGATTTTAACAAAGGCTACAATGTAAACTGGAAAAGTAATCGCGAAGGAATTACGATGTCACTTAAATATTCTTATATCTATACTTTAAGCGCTGCACATTATAGCGTAGCACGAAATTTATTGGCGTATCGCCGATACTTAGCGACTTTAATATATTTAGGCGGCATTACGCTGCGCAGAGGGAGCCACTAGCGCTCCAACTTTCTGCATAACTTACAACTCGCCGCTACACTTGACACATAGGGTTGCACGCTAAAAATACATTCTTTATTACTCTTCAATAACCTTAATGGAGCAGCCAGTAGTAATACATAAATATTTACTTTAGTTAGAAAAATAAGGTATCACGACATTTTAACTCCTGCTATTGCATATGTGGCTAGTTTTGAGTATTATCATGGTCCCAGAGAAGACCCCCGGCAACTTATATATTTTTTTAGATTTTATAAACTAATATTTTTGTAATGAATTCCAATTCATTTGATAGAAGATTTGCGACGCTATAGAAATTTCAATTTAATAATTTCAATTTATTTTTTTTATATTAATTTTAATAACAAAATTAATATAAGTTTCAATACAGGATAAGATGGGATTTCTGTGTCATTAGAACGTCTTCGAAACGTCTAAATCTTCATCATTTTAAATGTGCTTAAGCAATTTTATAGCAATTTTGTACATACTTCCACAGTGGTACATCTTTGACAACCCTGCGTTCCACTCGAGTTTTTCCGACAAAGCTGCCCTCTCGAAGAGTGCACTTATAAATTCCTTGCCAGAGGAGATTATCGGTTTTTAATTTCCGGTTGCAAGTCGAGAACTGCAACACTTTGAGAGTTGCCTGTTTGCCATAACTTTCCCAGCCTTTGAAGATATGGACAACGAGACAAATTGCATTTCACTCTTATCAAATGAAAACTTTGAAGAAAGTTTTTCATTTAAAACTTATCGTGCGCTCATTTGCACGTAAAATTTGTAGTAGTATTTTATTTGCCGTTCTATTAATATTATGAACCTTTTGTATTATTAAGTCCTAGCTAGTCATGCGTTTTTACACATATAATTTGCACATAACGTTGATGATGCTTTTGAGGTTTCAACATAAATAAATACTGCCAAATGTTGTCTGAATTACTCGAAAGATGGTAGATTTAAAAAAATGACTAACGCTAGACGAAATTTATTTCTAATTTATTTTTGTATTTCTTACTTCGATAAATAAATGATTTGATATATCTGATATTACTGAGCTCGTTTACCATCAACGGCTGCATCGCCCCTTACCATCAGGTAGGATGGTACTCAAGCGGCGGCCTGTTTCGAATAAAAAAAATGATATAATTATTGTGATATAGAGTACCTATGTACATGTACATTCCACCAAATCTTCCTAATTTATTAAATGAATGCTAAAAATACCTATGTAGTTTTAACTGCTTCAATAATATTTATGTACCTACCAACATTGGTTCTGATTTCCAACATCGTTACCTAATATTTTATCTCTAACTTTTACAATAATAAGTTATAAGGACAATAACTGAATTTATGCAAACATTCTATGATTAAAAATATTTTTTCTCATTTAACAGGTGTAAGAGCTTCCAAAACACAAAGCGCGGCGAAATATGTCGGATACCGGGTTGTACTGTTACTCCATCTGTCGGTGCGCAGCCTACACCGATTCGTATGCCGCATGTGCAGCCAGAAACTTTTAGACTTTTCATCCAATATGTGTATACGGGGAAGGTGAGTAATTCAAGGTTTAGAAACAAGCAGCGTAATTCATAAATACATTTAAGAACTTTAGCTGATAACTTTTGGAATCATATTTTTGTAAACTACATAACACTGCCATCTATTTAAAAATATATAAACTATTTGGCCAAATGTTACATAAAATTTTATAAGAATACCACTATTTTTAAGCGATAAATAATAAATAGTTGATATATAAATGTGACCGTGAACATGTACCTAATTTTCTTGTTAATTAGCTACTTCTACAAGACTCTGGTGTATTTGAGATGATGACATTGGCGGCTGACTTAGGGCTAGAAGATCTTCGTGCTGCGTGTGAAGATCACGTGACATCTACTTTAAGTGTGGAAAGTGCTTGTACGCTTTTAGCTGCTGCTATGGAAATACAAGATAGACCTGGTAAATGCATCTTTTATAATTTATGCCCTATTTTCAATCCGACCCACAGATGCGATGGTGGTGTAATGGTCAGCATAGTTGCCTTCCAAGCAGTTGATCCGGGTTCGATTCCCGGCCATCGCACACTTTTTGTTTTTAACTGTAAAATATATTTTTTACTAATTTATTAAGTATTTTATCTTTCGTGGCTGCAATAACATTTTGCTCTTTAAATATTTAACTTTTTTTTAATACAATATAAACATTTGGACTAATTGACATCACTTAGGTACTACTTTTAGAACCAACTTTTTACGAACACACGTTTTTTACGAAATCATAATACAAAAGATAATTAAATAAGTATACCTACATGTGAAAATAAGGTTTTCTGAAACAACTACTATGGGTATGGCTTAGACTTTTTGTCTATGTTTCCGAAACCTAGCGTATTATGTTAACTAATGATAAAATACTTACATAATACGTCCAAAAATATTTATTTACATATATGTTATGTAAAAAATATTTATACAATATTAACCCTTTCACGCCCAAGGGAAATATTTTTCCCTTCTACAAAAATTATTATCGATTGTTCAATTATTATTGAATTGATATTTTTTTTACTAAATGTCAAAGTAAAACGTATGTCCAAGGCGGCAAATGTGTGTTTCTGAATGAATAAACAAAAAATAACTGTCAAACTTTATTGCGCCAAAACCAAAACATTCGCGGGCTGAATTAATAATATCTAGGAAGTGTTTTGGACTTGAGCAAATAAAATAACTTTATTTTGTCACGTGTTTTACATTATTTGGTAAGTATTATTTTATGTAATAATACAGTAAACTGCAGAACATTAGCACAAGTACCTGAAAATTGCAAATCATCTAAAGGGAAATATTTTTCCCTCTGGTCCATATCTGGTGTATTCGTTGTATTATTATTATATGTAGTGCTTTATGATAATGTAGGGATTTCTTGCATTTTCTTGTATTTTATACAGTTTACCTTCATGGTTTTTTACAGAAAAGACTAAAAGTGCAGAGAATTTCATATTCAAGATGAAGAACTATTGCTTACGGCGATAGTAGTGACGGAGAAGATAACTTACTACAGACTACAGTTAGCCGAAGAAGACCAGCAGTTCATAGCTCAAGATGTAGAAAATGGAACCGATGTTGTTGAAATTGAAGATTCTGTTCAAGAAGTATCATCAACATGTAGCACGAGGTCTAATATTTTTTTTATGGGAAGAAAGCGGCAAACGAGCAGGAGGCTCACCTGATGGTAAGTGATCACCGCCGCCCATGGACACCTGCAACACTAGAGGGTTTACAAATGTGTTGCAAGCCTTTTAGGAAAGAGTATGCTCTCTTTTTTGACACACCGGCGGCAGCTGGTTCCACAGAGCGGTTGTACGAGGCAGGAAATGCCTTGAAAATCTCGCTGTTGAGGAACGCTGGAAATCGTGTGTGAAAAGGTGGTGTGGATGAAATTTTTGGTTTTTGTCCGATGGTGAAATTCAGCCGCCAGAATCAATCCAAAAAATTCTTCGGAATTCACTCAAAAAATTCACTCCCCGTGATAGGTGTGGTAGAAGATGCACAGTGATCTAACATGTCTACGCAGAACCAAAGTATGAAGTCGATCGGAAAGACTTTGAGCGTCGATAACCCAAGCTGCCCTACGTTGGGTGCGGTCAAATGGAAGAAGTTGGTAATAGGCGGCTCCCGCCCAGAGGTGACAACAGTACTCCATGTGGGGCCGAATTTGCGCCTTATAAAGGTTTAGGCGTTGCGCCGACGTGATGTCTCGCCTTACTGAGCAACCCTCCCTACTTTGAAGCCAATGTGGTCTTACTTTCCAATTGACCCCGGAACTGGACATTGCTCGAGATTTCGACGCCAAGTATTCCGATATTTTACATGTAGACAGCAAACAAGAATCACTTAAGTCTCCTCTGAAAAGCTCCGCATTGGAAATAAACTGAAGCGATACGTAAACTGTGCAAAACGACGTATAGAAAATAGGAGACATAATAAATGTGTTATGTGCAATGAACACTTGTGCTTCACAAGTAAACGAAATTGTTTCGTAGAATACCATAACTAACTATTTATTTTACTTTTCTGATAATTTTTACTGTGTTTTTTGTATTACAAAGCAATAAATAAAATACCGATAAAATAAACCTTACTATTTATTTATTTACTTTTATGGTCCATAGGGAAAAATATTTCCCATGAAATTATAGGAAACCTATACATCCTTCTATGTTTTTCTGGAGATATCCTCTTACTTTATACCCACAATAGCTAAAATATTGTGTTGTATCGGCATATTTAGTCTTGGACATCTTATGGTCCTGTAAGGGTTAACCACCAAAATTACAATATTTAATAAGTATAAACAACATTTTATTTTTCATTCGACTGCCATATTTGATTTTGTCTATGACATGATGGCTTCCATCTTCCATTTTTGACGGACGCGGGACGCGCTTTTGCCCGGCATTTAGCGGTTACAGTTTGTGAATCATTTTGTGCAAAATTTAAAAAACCAAAAATGGCTTACAAGGGCCCACCGAAAGTACAAAAGGTTATGGTGCAGCCCATAAACCTTATCTTCCGATATTTACAAAACAGAAGTCGTGTGCAAATTTGGTTGTACGAGAACGTAAATTTAAGAATTGAGGGGCACATTGTGGGATTTGATGAATACATGAACATTGTTTTGGACGATGCTGAAGAAGTTCATATGAAGACTAAAAATCGGAAGCAAATAGGAAGAATAATGATGAAAGGAGATAACATTACCTTGATACAAAACGTGAATCCAAACGCGTCTGTGTGAATACAATTAGGTTATTTTACCAATTAAGTGAACATTCCTAGCCAATAAGTGAATTGTACGGAAATTGTGTACCTTAATGGTATTTTACGTAAATTACTAAGCATTGCAGGTTATTGTCCTCATTAAAATAAGATTTGCAAATTGGCTTTCATTTGTTTCACCCAAAGAAAGAACCAACATTTAGTTTTCCATTGCTCCAATAGTGAGCTTTTCTATAATAAAAGTTAAAATCTAATAAAAATACTACAGATATGTAACAGATCCCACTTTTTCTTTTTAATTATTTAGTGTATTTAAATTACATACAAATTAAAAAAATTGATTACATGTATTACTAACTTTTGGAATAAATATTGATAATAATAATACAAGTAAACTTATCGTTTTTAAAATGTGTAAGTTATGGTTATATAATAATTTCAGTGTTTAAACAGAAATTAAGTATGCCAAAGTGGCAATGAGCTGTCCATATAGCTTGTAGAACTGATAACCGATGGGGAAGGAAGGTTCTAGGTAATGGTTAAAATTGTACATAAACAATAAATTTAACCTATATATTCTATACTTTTTGCCACATCAATATTGGTATTCTAAAAAAACATTATTTGCATGAAAATAAATATATATTGGCTTCATATAGGTTGAAGTTTGGATTTTATTGTTGAAGGGCTTATCAAAATACAATAATTTCAATTTTTGACCAGCCATAACTATATGTTAAATATTCTTGTTCAATATGAAGGTGCTTATTATTACAATTGTTTTTTATTATCCATATAAGTTGCTTTATATGGAATATTTAGATCACTATATGTATATGGTAATTCATAAACACCATTTAACTAGGGATATTAATAGAAACTCGAAAAAGTTATTGCAACTATTAGTTATCAATTACAAAGTTGTTACCTGCTGATTTTTTGTTACTGCCGAAGCGGTAAACGGATTGGTGTAAACAAAAGACATTTGCAATTATTTCTTGTCAAGACTTGCATACAATAATCGCATTCAATTTTTTTTACTATATCTCCGTGTACTGTTGCTTACAATTCTTGATGGTCAATTATTGCGCGCAATTTATTGCATTCAATTATTGCTCTTGTATGTACAAGAAAATGGCACCATGTAAATGGGCCTTTAGTCTTTGTAATTTAATCTAGTTATTTGTTACATAAAATATAAACATCTTTTTAATTCTGCTTTTACCCGACTCCAAAAAAGAAGGAGGTTTTTCAATTCGACTGTATTTATATATTATTTTTTTATGTGTGTCGGATAACTTCGTCGTTTATTAACTAATTTTGATGATTCTTTTTTTGTTGGAAAGGGCAACCCAAGGATGGTACGATGATTACGAAACCCGGATCTGATGGCATACCAGAGAAATCGAGAGAAATCCTCAAATGTTGTTGACAATGTTTTATTAGATTCTGTTTGAAGTTGTTTTTTTTTTTGTTCAAAATTATAACTATTTGCACGATATTGGGTGTTCCTATTACTAATCACCTAAGGCTTACTTACGTTTGATTTTGTGAATGATGTAGGTATAAAGGTATGCTAGACACTTACAATAATAGTAATATAGAAGAATCAATTATTTATTTCTCACCACAAAATAGACATAATATACAAGGATATTTTTAAAGGACGTGTTTTATTCTTACTACTTTACATATTTACAGATTTTTTACTTTTACGGTTTTTCCGCATTAATTTCAGGCGGAAAAAGCGCTTCGTCGTTTATGGAACGTTGCATCGCCTTCATTGGTGACAACGCGGCAGACTGTGTGAAGACCAACGCCTTCCTCAATCTACCTAAAGAGGCGCTCATCAAACTCATATCGTCCGACTTCGTACGTATGTTGTATCGAAAAGGGAATCAATCTTAGACTTAGGAATATTTTTTCCAAAGACCATTGACTTTAAGTTTAGGTTTTTGCTATAAAATTTTCACAGGCGCGTCTATAATTATTAAATGCAACAATTATCTTCTTTTTTAACTGATCAATCAATCTGACTTTCACTTACCGATTATAAGAAGCGTTAAATAATTCAAATTATTTGTTCATATCTCATCAAATGCTATTCAAAACTTTTTTGAGGATATCACAAATGCTTGTGGCGAAGTTTTGACAGTTTGTTATGAGGGAATTATTCGTGTGACTCTCAAGACCAACAGAATTTGACCGTGTATCTATATATTATGGGTAAGACACGCACCAAGTATCTGTGAGTCACACAAATAGTTTCTCGTGTGTGCCGAATACCTTGGTATATGCGGCACAGAGACGTCTAGCAGTTAGCCTTTGTCTGTCGTTGGCTAGCTGTGCCTGGAGGAAGAGGAGGTGTGGCGGTGCGCTCTGGCGTGGGCGAAGCAACGCGCTGGAGTTACTCAGCCCACGGCGCACTGGACGGAGGAGGAGCGGGCTAGAGTTTGCCACCACCTGGCGCCCCTAATGCAGCACGTGCGCCTCTTGCTAATCGGTGATTAACTCACTAACGACCAATTAACTTAGGCATTCGCCTGGATACGCTCGACCCGCCAATAAGCGACGAGCACATCAGACATAAGCACAATAAACTCTGTAAGAGCCGGACTTCATCCGCTATTCTATTGTTATAAATAAGATTGAGTTTCTCGAACATATTATATAGCATGACCTGTTAATTCCAGTTCTTGCTTAAATTCCTGCGATGACAACTATCATTGGCCTTTAAAAATTATAAAATTGCTGAGTAAATAATATCAATATATAATATATATTCGAAAAGAAACAGTTCCATTTACACCGCCCTCTGGTGTCACCCAGACCTTATTAAATGTTTAAACTACATACAGCTTAAGAACATTTCCGAATGACCAATTACGAAACATTAGTGAAACGTTCGTAGATTTTGATTTTGTTCGTGTTTTAGAAAACTGTATTTTAGGCTTTTTTTATTTAAGAAGGCGACAAGCGAGCTGGCGGTTTGCCTGACGTCAAGTCTTAGTGATAATCGCCGCCGGTGACGTTTGGAGCACCCATAGGGCTGCATTCGTTGCCACCTTCCGATAAAGCGGGCCACAACAACTATAGAAAGAAAGAAAGAATTACATTATAGGTTTTTTTTCTTTTGTTTTTATGGGAAAAGTTGTCAAACGAGCAGACGGTTTACCTGATGTTAAGTGAATACCGCCGCCCATGGACATCTGCCACACCCGAGGGTTACAGATGCGTTGACAACCTTTTGAAAATTGGGCTCCGGCCACCTCACTCACAAGACGAAACGCGAAAGTAGTTGTCATACTTCCACTTTACGCTGGTCTTCTGTGAGGTCGTGGTACTTACCCGGATGGGCCTGCCCATTCGTGCAACAGCCGAGGCTGCTGCGTGTCCCTACCACCGTGAAAAATAAATAACAAGGAACAACACTAGGATTGTAGGAATATATGCTCCAAAAGGGTCTCCGCTCAGAATATAGCCGTGGCAGTGAATACCACGGCACTGGCACACTGCACGTGTTTTTAGACAGCGCGGTGTTCGCCGAGGAAGTGGAGCCGACCGGCGCCGTGCCCATGGAGCTCTCCCTGGAGCGCTATAGGCGCGCCGCCCTGCACGCCGCGCCCCGCCCCGACCCGGACAAGCGCACGCAGCCCAGGTGAACAAACAAACGCACACCAACATACGAACGCACAAAAACACTTACTGTTCCTCATCACTTTCTATATTATCATCACATCATTACAGTAGATTCGTTGATATATGTATAGATAATTATAGCTAGTTATAAATAGTAGTAGTAGAAAAAGTAGATAGTAGTTCAATAATAACTAGAATAAAAGCGTACAGCTGTACTCTTTCCCACTGATCATTGTATCCTCTTTTACGTGGTTGCATGGAAGACATCGCTACTAAGGCTGCCAATGGTACCTTTATATAATTTTTGTTACTCTTTCCAATAAAGCATATTTCATTTATTCATAAATTCAGCTTGCTGCTGCACTTGTAATTTAACATGTCATTCATTATCATTGTATTCCGAATTTGGGATATTCTTTTTAGTAGATTCCATCATCATCATCATAGACATCTACAAGTCAACTTACTACGACCCGTACGAGCAAGTAAGCAACGCAAAAGCATGATATCGATTGATAAAAACGTCTATGAATATGCCAATGCAGAAATTGCATTATCATCGTCATGTCAGTTCGAGTCTACTGTTGAACACAGATTGCCATTAAGCATGATCCTAAGCCACCTGCTTCTATGCACCCCCCCCACATATGCTCTGGTCTTCACGCAATCCAGTGGAGGGTCCTACCTGCGATGGCCATAACGAGACTGCCACTCGAGTTTTTTCCCCATCTATTCTCCGAGCTATATCGCCCATTTCTACTTCAGCTTACTAATGTTTAAACTACCACAAAGACCGGCAACGCTTTGCAACTGCTCTGGTGGCACCTGTGACGTTATTTCTTACTACCTTATCCATGAAAAGGTACACAATTATTTTGACAAACACATGCACACATTTACCGATATGTGTCCGTTTGGACATAAACCCACGTACACAATCACCTCGAAATATTAAGTTCGATGACGTAAAATATCTTCGTGTCTCGTTCCAGATTAGCGGTAAATATGTTCGCAGGGTCAGTGATCTTGCAGCAGGACAAGAGCGCCTTCCAATCGCTCATCAACAGCTGGTGAGTGTTGAATACCTACGATAACATTTCTCCGCTCTGTTACCGGACTGCCTCATTCGAAGAGTTACATGTGTTAATTTTTATTCATTTTGACATTTTGATTTTTTTTACGCGAATATTATACATGTTAAATGAAACTACTAGAATTCAGGGCTGTTCTTAAGGTCTGTCACGAGACCATGAACGCTGAAAAGGGTTCGAAACGTCGGGAATTTCAAAATCAAAATTAGAACGCAATAAAATCCGTAAACTAGTTTCACTCAATATCAATACATTTTCTTGAAATTCGACGCGTTGCCACCTTTAAATAAAGTTGGCTCTATCTCACTCAGCAGACGAGACGCAACGCTCGACCTTCCCAAACCAGACTTGTGGCCTTACCACAGATATAATCAGAGCTAACGGTGATAGGGCCACGCAGCAGCCTCGGCTGTTGCACGAATGGGCAGGCCCGTCCGGGTAAGTACCACGACCGCGCAGAAGACCGGCGTAAAGTGGAAGTATAATACTTTCGCATTTCGTCTGGTGAGCGAGGTGGTCGGAGCCCAATTTTCAAAAGGTCATCAACACATCCGAAATCCTCGGGTGTAGCAGATGTCCATGGGCGTCGGTATTTACTCAACATCAGGCTAACCGTCTGCTCGTTTGGCAAATTTTCACATTAAAGGTCACAGTGAGCCTCCCCTTGGCAGGTGCGGCACCCCGAAGCAGCCGTGGCGGCTGGTGTTCCGCGCCTCCACGCACGGCTTCTCGGCCCACGCCTTCCACAAGCACTGCGACGGGATCGCGCCCGTGCTGGTGCTAGTGCAGGTGCCGGCCCCTCACCGGCCCCGAGCCGGAGCCGCCCTTAAGGCTCCTTAAGCCTCGTTCGGTCCGGTGTACACAGTTTACTCGGAACATCTCGCGTTACGTATAAACTTTGTTTATGTCCACGTCAGTATAGGTCTTACACTATCAATATAATAGCTAGGCGATGACGGAAAATTTAATTTTAACATATAAAACTGAACCCCTTTTGCCCTTGGTCACGCCCGGACGGACCGATTTCACTTTTTTTTTTGTTGTGTTAGTTATTATCAGGAGAATGTTCTTTGAAAGAAAAAAATTAAAAAAAAAATTGCCTGGAAAGGTCTATAAACAACAATTTTGTATATTCCCGTACAAAAGATTCGTAATAATACTTATAAGTCAATTTAAACTTTAATACCATAGCATAAAGTTTGAGTGTTAGTGGAGGGTTTCCGGGAAGGTAAAACAAATGAGTGACTGTGGTAAAATGTCACTTGAAATGTAAACGTCTCTTTGCTGTGCATCACTACATAGTGTAAAACAAAGTCGTCCCGCTGTCTGTCTGTCCCTATGTATGCTAAGATCTTTAAAAGTACACAACACACTACATTAAATTATGACGAAACTGCAATAATATCAATATCAAGTGAAACTTTCAGAAAAACTGAACAAATATTTGTTGGTATTGAATGTATTAATGATAGATATCGGGGACAGATTTTATAATCTAACGCAAAAATTCACCTATATAAAGTTGACGACAATAAATATAGTCAAACACCACACACAATAAATATAGACAAATACTTTCGCGTTTCGTCTGGTAAGTGAGGTAGCCGGAGCCCAAGTATGGGCGCTCCTACAAATACAAATATATTGATGGTACGGAAACCTTCGTGCGCCAGTCCGACTAGCCCTTGGCCGCTTTATTATACCCGCCTCCCCATTGAATCACTGTATATATTGATCTCCCCAAAATTACAGATGACCATTGCGTTTTGTTTGCAGACGATATATCAATTTTAATACCGTCTAAAAATAGTGTCCATTTAAGTAATAAGATCACCTCCACATTAGACCGCATTACCGAATGGATGAGCAAGCACAATTTAGAATTAAACTTCTCAAAAACTAAAATTATGATCTTTCACCCGCGCCAAAAAAATCCCTTAGATTTCAACTTTTTCTACAGAGATATACAACTTGAAGTTACAAGAGAAATTTACATTACTAGGAATAGACATAGATACACACATCAATTGGAAAAAACATACACAAAAAATAAGTAGTAAAATATCGCGTTTCACATATGCACTCAATGAAATTAAAAAATCTACTGACTTGAATGAAAAAACTGCCCTTGCAGTATACTATGCCTATTCTTTTGCATGGCTTAACTACGGATTGATTCTCTGGGGGAATAGCACAGGTGCTCCTGCAATTTTTACTCTACAAAAAAAAGCTTATAAGAATCCTAGTTAATATAAATCAAACAGATAGCTGTAAACCCCACTTTAAAAAGCTAAATATACTTACCTTACCAAGTTTATATATATATGAAATATGTAAATTTGTTCGAAAAAAAAAAATCCTTGGCTTTATCAAAAGCGCAGTGAAATTCCTGTACAATACAACTTACGACATAAAGATAGACTAATGCAACCCACTTCTACACTACAATTATACTCAACCAGTCCCTATGTAATGACCATCAAGATATATAACAAACTACCGCAAATATTAAAAGACGAAAAAAAAACGATAAAACTTTCCTAAAAAAATTAAAAGAATTGTTACTTACCAAGTCATATTATGACATAAAAGAATATTTTGGAGATACCTAGGATATTATAGATATAAATAACACATAATGATCTCACATTATAAATATATTAAACAAATTACTCATAATTAATATATAAATTAAAACTAATAAATGTTACCTAAAAAAATAAATAGCCTCTCAAAATACCAACTACATATACAAGTACCCAATTAAATTACCTAAGTGATACATCTTGCTCTCTCCGAATTTATGATTTGTTTTGTACTATGCCCTATAAACAGGGTCCATAAAGAACTATTTTACTAATTACCCTAACACCTTTTTGTTACTTAATGGATGTGCAATAAATAAATAAATAAATAAATAAATAAATAAATATAGTAAAAAACCGCATCAAGATCCGTTGCGCAGCTTTAAAGATGTAAGCGTACTGGCCAGCAGCTGTCCCGCGGCGAGGTGGTGGGCGGGTTCTGCGAGGCGGGGTGGTGCGCGGGGGGCGCGGGGGGCTACGTGGCCGCCGAGCGCGCGCTGCTCTTCGCGCTCGCCGACCCGCCCGCGCGCTACCCCCTCGTCAAGAAGCCCTTCGCGCTCTGCTACCACCCCGAGTGAGTAGCGACCCCAGTGCCGCCCCATTTGAATCAATGAATGAGTGAATATTTATTTAGTTTCAACAACGAACACAGGTATGCTAACAATTGAAAGAATATATATCTAACACATGAAACCAAATAGATATGCACTCGATTTTCAGATACCAAAAGTACATACCAAAGATTTTCAGTACATACCAAAAATTTAAATTATAAATAACAAACTAGACTAAGATTAACACAAAGCGGGTACATTAATTCCAGGACAATAACACAATACCTACTGATTATAACACAAATATACACATATTTCTACTTCCACTCCTTCCTGCCGGCAACGCAAACGTCACTCAACCGATGTTGCAGGTGTCAGATGACCCGCTTGCTCGTTTGCCTCCTCTTTCCGTAAAAAAAACCACGTCCCTCTTCAATCATCCACGTTTTCAATTCACATAGCCCTTTGACTCGACAATTGAACGTTTTCTTGTCGTATGTCGATATTGTACGATTTTCGCGCCAAAGCTGAGAAAAATCTAAAGCAGTCAAAAGTAACACGTCATCGAGCCTAACACAGTAATTTCTTTTTATGATTTTTTTTTTTTCATTTAAAATTTATGTTCCACTATCAATTTATTCTTTACTTATATTTAGTATTCAAATATTCGAAGTTTAAAATTCATATTCGAAATGAATATGCGCAATATCGTCTAGGCGACAAGAAGTTGTTCGGTTGACGACCCAATTGGCGTAGCACTCAGTGACCCTTTCTCTGCGCCAGAGGGTGTGGTTTTGAACCCCACTACTGGAAATATATTGTATGATGAACATTTTCCTAGTTTCTGGGTGTTGATATAATTTTAATAGGTATTTTTTTACAAAATACAAGAACGTTTACCTACATAAGTTACCTAGTACCCATAGTAACAGTTTTGACCTAGATAACGGTGCAAAAATAAGGGATATCAAAAGTGAAGAAGAAATATATCGATGTAACCATATTTAAAAAAAATCAATATCAGCCTTAATATATCAGTGAAAATATCGATCGGATATACTCCTAGAAAACTTGGTCCAAAAAAGGTATGTCAAATATTAAATATTTGACAGATATGAAAAAAATATCGTTTTTTGTACGATTTTCGATATTGAACATTTTGTCTCGATATATCGGCTGAAAATATCGATACGTAGAATCAAAAACGTGGACACGTCGATACTCTTTCGACATCCCTAGTAAAAATATGTGTGTCGCGCCCAGCTGCGGGCCGATCTTCGGCGCGGGCGCGGACCTGCTGGTGGCGAACAACTGCAACAGCAACAGCGACAGCTACAGCAACCTGCACTCGTACGGCGACGCGCCCGCCCCCGCGCCCGCCTCCCTCGCGCCAGACTACAACTTCACCGTGCGCGACTACGAGCTCTTCACCTGCGCACACCCCTAGCCCTAGCAGCAGTCTCCCCATTCGAATCTTCACAAGCGCACCCCTAGCGCTAGCCGCTATCTCCGTATTCGAATAATTACATTTTTATAACAACAGTCTTGCTTATTACTCGAACCCTTCCAAGTTTTAATTTCTTATTCGATGGTGCTAGGTGGCGCGGATGGTATGAACCCGTGGGTTCCGGCTAGCACACCGGTTCTGCGTTCGATGAAGCTTTAATAATCTAAGGGCTGAAAGCGTAACATCGGTTATTAAAAAAACTATACGGGCACTACTCGTACACAAAGTTTTAAAGTACGCCGAACTGTGGTTCGTTCTCGCCTACGGACACGGCGAAACCAACACAACGCGTACAAACAGATGTCCGTCGCCCTAGCAGAGCAACGTTGGCTAAATGGGATTTAATAATGGTCAAAATTAGGTGCTAATTAGATGCCAACATCTAAAATTAGGTCCGAAAATTGATAATTTATTTTTCATACAAATTACAAGTGATTAATTATAATTATCGAATTGTCTTAAACGGTATAGTATAATGTAAATGATAATCATTTTGTACTAACTTTTTATGAAATATATATCCGCTATACCTAAGTAGTTCATAGTTTGCGTAGATAGCGTTTGCTCATGCTGAATTGGGCCGGCTCAAACCGGAAAAGTACCCGGGCCAAATTCTAAATTACCTCTGCTCGGGGCAATAGTAGCATGCACACTACAGCTACCCTTACCACGCTCCTAGGTATTCTATATAAATGCAAATAATAATCATGTTTAAATGACTTAATTTAATTCCAACACTATCCAAACTAATGCTCTCAGGTTTGTTTTCATAATTGATTTATATTTAATCCCGTTTTAACAGAAATACAACCACCACCTTTATTCATTAAAGTTTGTGGCTAGTTTAAAGTCACCGATGGAAATAATGTTCTCCATTCCTTTTTTGACAAGTTTCACTTAAACAAATTAAGTCTTAATCTATTTTTGTTGCCCTTCATTGTGCCAATACTATTTCTAAGGACTACTGTCGCTTTTAATTGTGCCAATACGTTTACGCTTGGCGCTAACTAAGCGTTCCTCAAAAACTTAACTAAGTTATTCTCGCGTCTCTGCTTGCCTATATAGGTCCTATAGCGGTAATACCGAAACAGACCGACCAATCAACCACGTCCAAAACACACCGACTAAATTCCGGTGGTTGTCATCTGTTCTGATGTGAGGTCACGGGATCTCCATCCAGAACACTCCCGCAGCCGCTCCTTGGCTTGACAGTGATAACCTCGTTCAGGGACGGCATTACACTGGCCCCAGCATCCCCAAGGTGGAGACTACTTAAAGACTCTGACCTCCTTTGAAAAAGTTAACTTATGGCTAAGGCGTATTATCCCATTGCGGAATATTTTGACGACGCCAAAGTGTGGGGTTAATACTGTTGATACTCACATAGGCTAAAATAACATACTTGTTCTATTATATTGTAAAGTAATCGTTTTAAAAAAGTGCAACTGCTGAGTTTCTTGCCGGTTTCTTCTCAACAGAAACTGCTTTCCGAACCGGTGGTAACTTACGAACGTATTAATTTCTGTGTAAAATTTCGATTTCGTTTTATAAGAACGCGCAAGCATCTATGTGAATAAAAATATTTTGAATTTTTTTGAATTTTAAAGGGCTTTGATGATCAATTAAAAGCTCCAATCGCTTATGACCCCTGCGGCCCCAAGGCTAGTGAGGATGGTTTTAACCAAGTTACGGTTACTAATGAGCCTCTCCATATCACTCTCCATTGAGTCCAAGGCACCCAGATGGCATTTTCATCCCAAGCTGGCACCAAGGTATGCGTAGTCGAGTCTTGGTTGATCCCACCACAGTGGATATAAGCAGTTGTGCAACTGCTCTCCCTACTACACTCACAGATCTAACTTCTAACACAGGCATCATTCACTTAAATAGATACCCTAATGATTGTCTTTACTCACAAAATTTAAAGAAATAAATTACATTTGGTTTTATTTGTATTTCATTTTATAATAAAGGCTCTTTTTTTTTCTACGGACTCAAGAAAACAATTCTGAAAGGTTCAGTCTTTGGTAATTTCGATAGTCGTCTGAATCACAGTGGTATCACAGGCGCATCTATATTTCCTCTGGCGGAGTTTTAATAATTTCTTTTCTCACACCCTTTTTAATTTTTATCTATTACCAAAAAACGTAACAGAATTGCTATTTTCTTTTTTTTTTTCTTCAAAGTAGCACGTAAATGCATAATTACAAGAACACCGACACTATTGAGAAACGAAACAGTACTGATCATAGATAAGACATATATACTGAAACTGATGGTACTGATGATGACGGAGGCTAAGAAGAACATTGTGTGGGCTACATCGTACTTCGCAGGGATAGCGAATGGACCCTTTTAGGAATTATGCATATTGAGATTTACCAAAACTTGAACCAAAAAAGTTACGGTACATGAATAATATATCATGCGTGACGTCACTATTTTGACTGTCCAAAGTGATAAAAAAGCAGTGTCAATTAGTGAATGAAATTAATGAAATTTTAGTTAATATCCTGTTGTTTTATTAATTATGTCAGCTATTTGTAATGAAAAGTAATTAAACTAACTTATATTTAATTTACCTTAAGGAAACAAAGGAAAAATCATTTAAACAATGTCTTTGAATAATATACAGGACTGTCGAAAATTGCATTTAATTTTATGATATAAGGCTATTTCATCTTGATTGTAGGGCCATTTTTAGTAGTTGGCAACTCAGCACCGGGCTTGCGATGCGACAGCACCAATGATCTTATACTGAACATATATGAACATTATAATGAGAGAGAGGGAAACACTATGCATCAATCCAACCTGATATTCCAACCAAACCATGGTTCTTTAATTTTCCTAAAGCCAATAAGCATGCCACCTCTATTGTCTGCAGACTTAGACTAGGGCATGTCTGCACTAATGTTCATCTTGCCAAATTAAGAATAAAAGATAGTTCCATCTGTGAATGTGGCCTAGATGATGATTCACCTGATCATATATTTTTCAACTGTCCCAGAATTCCAGGTTCCTTCCATGATCATCTTCCTTCTAGCATCCCTCGTCCATCTAATATCAATAACCTTTTAACATATGTTAATTCTTCATTTGTTTATATCTTGTGTAATTTTATTAATAGTTGTAATATTAAGTTGTGAACTTAGCATAATAATTACAATCTTATTTTCTTTGTTCTAGGTAATTGCTATAATTATGTAAATTTGTTTAGATATTCTATATATAAAAATATACATATTTAACATTCATAAAATCATTCTCTTCATCATTTCATTATAAAAGTTAGGCAAAAAATAAACAACCAGAAGTGTTCATTGGCGTATTCATTGAAAACCGCCAAAAAAGAAAAGAAGAAGAAGAAGAAGAAGAACATTATAATATTAGTAAGTGTAAGGCTGTTGCACAAATAGGCAGGCCCGTCCGGATAAGTACCACGACCTCACAGAAGACCAGCGTAAAGGGGAAGTATGGCAAATACTTTCGCGTTTCGTCCGGTGAGTGAGGTAGCCGGAGCCCAATTTTCAAAAGGTTGTCAACGCATCTGTAACCCTCGGGTGTGGCAGATCTCCATGGGCCGCGGGATTCACTTAACATCAGGTTAACCGTCTGCTTGTTTGACAACTTTTCTCATAAAAAAGTCTATGGACAGCACGTACACCATACGGATGTGACATTGAGAGAAAAATCTATTTTTCTCTTTTTTATATTAATCGATTTTGGAAAAAAAATTAATCAGAAGAAATAATAATCGGATTTTTTATTATTCTAAAAATCCTGTATAGCAATAAAACTAAGGCAAAAATATAGTGTTCACAGTTTACCACATTTTAATCAAAATCTAATAAAATGAGTAGTATAAAAAATAACCTAAACGACAACCTTCTGGTGTCATAACAAAAATACAAAGTAACTTTCTTATGTTTTAAACTTTGAACAATAAAAAAAACTAAATAAATTTGCCACAAATATTCAATCGCATTTAACATTTTATTTGACTCAGATCTGTTAAAAAGTTACGAAACTGGTTTACATATAGAGGATAATTTTAAAGATGACGGACATAATAACAGAGCATATGCAGAATATATTCTAAATATGAATCTGGTACGTCCTTGTGACCTCAATTTTTTTTTGTTCAAAGATTAATTTTAATTTATTTCAAACATTATGGACACCTTATTAGAAAAAGAAATTCCTGCCGTTTCAATACAATAACCTATTCACGAGCACTAAAACTGTTCGCTGAATGCATGAATAGGGTGACCATTCTTAACGGGATTAACAAACAATGTTGAAATTTATATTTTTATGGTTATATCGTGTCAAAATAAAATATTAATTTAATTTTAATTATAGAATGCTCAATTAACATTATATCAAAGTATGCACTTCGTCTAAAATATCAATCTGAAATTTTTAAGGTCCAACAAAGGTTTACAATTTTTTTTTATAGTGCTAATCTCTTACTTAAGATTGAACATTAAAATTTGTAGAAAAAGTACGAAAAAATTGTCGCCGCTGTGGGAAGCGAACCCACGTCTTCGGCATTCGTGGCCTGACGCTCTAGCCACTGAGCTAAACGGCTGATTGCTTCACCGACAAAAATCTTAACGTGTTTTATCTACATTGCTTTTTAGCATTTGAAGCAATGCTTGGCGCATCCGTTGTTATATCCTTTCCAGCATACAAACAATTTCGAATATCGTTTTACAACTTGAATGCCGAAGACGTGGGTTCGATTCCCACAGCGGCGACAATCTTTTCGTACTTTTTCTACAAATTTTAATCCTTTAAAAAGTTATATTGATAGAATCGATTACGAGAAGAAAAATAATCGATTACGTAATATGAAAAAAAAATTCACATCCCTAGTTAGCATCATTAATGAATAAAAAAACTTGTTTAGTGTTTACAAATACAAACGTTAATTAACAGTAATAATAACAACACGGACACTGACTAGATAAATAACAGGACTTTGTGCCGCATCGTATTGATATTAGACAGTGAGGAAAGTATAAGTAAGTAAGCTTGAAGCCTCACTCACTTACCGCTTGTGCCTGCCTCGCGCACATATTTACATAATAATAAGCCGATGGATCGTCCTCCATTACTTAGGACGCACAACGGCGTGTAACTATCAATATCAGCTCGCAACTATAAAATAACGCTATCTTATGTTATGTTGTGAAATTGTGTAAAAACAGAACTGTTTGCCAAAAAAATTCAAGGAATAACATATTACAAGTAATTTAACTAGTTCATTTATTATATTTTTGAAATTTTATAATTACTACTCTGAAAACAAAATCTTAAAATTTTTCCAGTGATTGTGTACTTAATCCATTTTAATCCGTTCTTTGTAATTATTTGCAAGTATTGATTAAACTTATTTTTGAACCTACAAAACACCTAGATATGGGGAAGTTAAAACATTACAGAACTTTGCTAATAATCGGATATTTGATACGTAGCGTTAATTAGAAGTACAAAGTGCTCGGAATGTTAAGGCGTTTAGCGCGCTTGTTACCTGACGTAAGGCTTTATTTTCACTTTTCTTTAAAATCAAAGTACTATATTTTCTCTGAAAACTGATAACTACCAAACTTCTTGCATTTGTAAATTAATTTTTGTCTTTTTATACAGTGCATGTTACTTATAAATAATTTTTTGACTCTTAATCTAAGTCAATCATATTTTTGTTGTCTTTACATTAATAAATGCATCTTTAATTACAACATTTTCACAAAAAATTAGTAAGTAATTAATTTTATGTGAAAATTTAGTATTTAGTAAATATCTAACACATGCTATCCCCCTACAGCTGAATGTTTAGACATACTAATGATAAAAGAACTGGTTTATTTATTTATTTTTTATTTTATGTGAAAAGTTGTCAAATGAGCAGATGGTTCACCTGATGTTAAGTGAATACCGCCGCCCATGGACATCTGCCACACCCGAGGCTTACAGATGCATTGACAACCTTTTAAAAATTGGGCTCCGGCTACCTCACTCACCAGACGACACGTGAAAGTATTTGTCATACTACCTACTTTACGCTGGTCTTCTGTGAGGTCGTGGTACTTACCCAGACAGGCCTGCCCATTCGTGCAACAGCCAAGGCTGCTGCGTGGCCCTACCACCATGGTTTATATGTCTTTAGTCACAACAGTCATTTTAGGATACAATTTGATCAAAAATTTTGAGATGCAGGGACCACAGACATAAAACTATAGTGAAATGTCACAATACACCAAACAATACATACATAATTTGCATTTTTACATCAGGGAAATATAAATATATGTATCATCTGAACTGGTTTGCATTAATTAATTGTATCGAAAAGCTACGAAAATAAAAAAAAACCTTTAATGATAAGTCCGAAGAAAGTGTTTAAATTGTCAGAACACTTAAAAACCATTACATGTTTTTGCAACATCAGAATATAGTTGACAAAGAATCTATCTTAACATGTTTTTCTCATTTATCACATGTGATATAGAATAACATGTTGAAAAAATGATAGTACTACTTATTGGAGCTACAATTTAGTTTTAAAATTAACACTTATATATAGTGACTAATAAATAATAAAAAATTCCAATCAGTACAATGTTATAAGTATTTAGTAAAGAGATCAATATTGTCAAAGTTTATTTTTAGTGTTTGATATTTCAATTTCATGGCGGAGTGCAAACAATATTGTTTTGCAGACTTATGCATGATGAATTCAATTGCCTCTGCAATTAAACTAAACTATTACTACAAACCTTAAATACTTTTAAGTTTAAATCTAAAACAAATTTTCTTAATAATGTACTGTTAATATACTGTTTTAAGATTTTGGCAAAGTAGCATGTGAACAAATGTTATTTAGTAAAGGCAAATTAAACAGAAAAATAACATGTACATGAACAAAAAGTAAAGGTTGTTTATAATTTTTTTGAATACCTCTTATACCATAAATACCAAAACATGGTCCATTATTTGTAGGGGACAAATTTTATGTAATAGTTTACATTTTCCATGTTTCTTTACATATAATCAATATGAGGACTAAGTGAGGTTTTATTTAAAAGTAACACATATAATCCTTCTGTGTCAGTCATTTTAGTGACACTCTTTTTAAGTTCTCCAAATATGTTCTCATTCAATCCTGGCTTTAGAGAAACAGTGGTATGGTATGTTCTGGGGACATATTTGTATAAGAAGTAAAGTGCAGACTTTTATTTCCCCTGAAGCTTCTTTCAACTTCCCTAAATTGCAGCATATTAAATAAGATGGCAGCTGTAGGATGAGAAGAATTTCATGTTAGTTTAAATGTTGGGGTTTTCTGAAAGCTTTAATGTCTTCTTTAGATTAGTTGTTAATGTTTCCTTGGGTTGTTGTAACTTTTTGATCCATGATCTTAATGCAGTCATTTTAGTTGATGAAATTTTTTTACGGTGGTAGGGCCTCGCAGCAGCCTCGGCTGTTGCACGAATGGGCAGGCCCGTCCGGGTAAGTACCACAACCTCACAGAAGATGGGCGTCAAGTGGAAGTATAATACTTTGCGTTTCGTCTGGTGAGTGAGGTAGTTGGAGCCCAATTTTAGAAGGTTGTCAACGCATCTGCATACTCACGGGTGTAGCAGATGTCCATGGGCGGCGGTATTCACTTAACATCAGGTGACCCGTCTGCTCGTTTGGCAACTTTAATAAAATGGTCTTAGTTTAGTCATAAGTAATATGAAATAATAGAATGTACTCACTAGAAGTTTGTCATGTATTTAACTTTAAGAGATATCACATTAGTTCAAATAATTTATGAATTTGTTGGTACAATATACCTATGACCATTGTTTAATTTTTATTTTGGTAAAAAAGAAATTTTTACGAAAAAAAATATTGTTTTGAATATTGCTCAGTGGCTCTATCGATTTTATATACAAAGATTAGGATACAAAGCATCCTTAAAGCATCCTTATCATACAATTTAAGATTTAAATTAAAATAATAGGAGCTTCAATATCTACCTAAAGCTCTTTTTTTTGTTGTGCTACCCTTTAAGCACATTACATAAATTTGTTATTTTTATTTTGTATAAAATTATATTATCTAATTTTATTCAATGCTTACAGTAAAAATTGAAGAAAATTTTAACTTTTCAGTGGTTGATGGCTGTGCATGTGGTTTTCTGCAAAATTTCATAACTTTGTCTTGCTATTATAAAAAAAAAAAAACTAATTCAATTCAATTCTAGGTCTGAAAGACAAACCGGTCGTGGTGGTATTAACGCGCCGTCAGTACATCTGTGAGTGTTAAATATTTAAATTTTATTATTTGGAAGTGGAGTGATAAAATTGAATTGAAATTACCTTTTTTTTATGTGTTAAGTTATAACAGACATTTGCAATAACCGTTGGGTTGCAGATGCGTTGCCAGCTTTTAATAAAGTAGGCCCCGCTATCTCGCTACGTTATGCGTTTCGATAACTATAACACTTCCACTTAACGCCGGTCTTCTGTGAGGCCGTGGTACTTACCCGGACAGACCTGCCAATTCGTGCAATAGCCGCAATTAGTGGCCCTGAAACAGTTTAACTACAACAATTTATTTTAGAAATACAAATAAGACAGACGTAGCAGTAGGGCGAGGTCGTCGGCGCGGGAGAGGGCGAGAAAAAGAAGTTATTTTTTTTCGTATCCCTAATAATTGTAACCACAACTAACTACGTTTAATATTTCAGTTTATTCAATAAATATGCCATTTCCTAGCGCTTTTAGAATCCAGCGTCTTATTTTATCGCAGTTCCGCTGTGAAAGACCGTCTCCGCGACATGAGCGTAAAGAGGAAGACTTCACGACGCTGCTTAGCTGGACTATTTACGGAGGCTCGTCAGGAACTTATTGCCCAGAAGCGTGATGTTCAACTGGAGCGAATGCTTTTGCCAGATGCACCACCGCGCACGCGACCAAAAAAGTATTGTTTTTTGATCTTCCAATCACTTACTTCCACTTAAATAATTCATGCTGCCGTAATTCTCTGAAATCTAAACGTTAAAACTCAACAAAGTAGGACAATTTGTCTCCAAATTTAAGAATTATTTGCACAATTTTATTTGTAAGATGTTTACGTATATTTATTAATAGGTTATTCTTGTATATATATATATATATAATCAGAATCTCGGAAACGGCTCCAGCGATTTTCATGAATTTTAGTATATGCGTAGATTCGGGGGCGAAAAATCGATCTAGCTAGGTTTCATTTTTAGAAAATGTCCTTTTATCCCTGTTTTCAGGGAATGAAAAATATAATTCGAATATGACGGTAAATTTCGGCGCAAGAGCAAATGTCATAATAGCTCGGTCGGTAATCGGGCGGCCCCAAAACAGACGGCCGTGGTTCGCGTCACGATCATTTACACATTTATTTTTTTAATTTTTTTTTTCGATTCCAGATCATTGCTTTCTTTATTTTTAATTTTTTGTCGATTTGTTATTTTGTAATTTTTTTTCCCTTTTTTTTTAAAGTTCTTTCTTTTGTGAAAAACATCAGTTCATATTTTCTTATTATTACGTCAGTAAGATCGAAAAATATTATGCATATTTCATTACTCAGTAATTTGTATCTAAATGTAATTTCCAAAATAGCAAATACCAAAGCTCGGTCCTCCGGGTACTATTTATTAATAGGTTATTCATTTTGCAGAGGGATATCTCCAGAACGTGAGTCATGCATCATGGTTGTTCCACCAGTCCGGCTAAGTGTCGGTAAGATGATTATTTCAGGGTCTATTATTTCTTTGTTGTTTAATGTACACTGTATCATAACATGTTTTTGCAGATTACAGCCCCATAAAGCGAGTTGAGGCTGAGGCCTCGACGTCCGGAGTGGCATGTTCTTCCGGTAAGATTTTTATTTCAGACGGGTTATTCATATTTTGCTTAAATAGATAGAATACACTAGCTGGCCCGCGCATTTTCGTCTGCGCCAATTTTACCGGGTCCATACGTTTCTACTTTTAGCATAGCCATCTATCAGATACTTACTCAATCAAGCCGATAAATTTATCTTACACCGCCATCTGTTAGAATCTTATGGGACTCACAGATAGCTCTTTGTCAATTTTGTCATCTAATAATAAAATAATTTGCAATAACAAATATTGAGATCAATAATTGAGATAAAACCTACACTATCTCTCAAGTTGGAAAAAAATAACAAATGCTTACAAAATTTGATAAAATATTGTGTCAGAAATTTCGGAGTTTATCGCGAACATACATCGTGGCATGAAATTTATATATATATATATATATATATATGTATGTATGGATTATAAATTGTTTGTTTCAGAACTCAACTTCTCAGAACCAACCGAGTTTGAATGTTCAATGTCAGGTAAGTTATTTATTTTACACAACATTATAACTTGGGTAAAATTTTCCATTACCACAGTGTGATTAACCAGGCGCAAAAAAAATTTATTCGATAAAGAAAAATCACTAATGAAATAAACAACAAGTAGAATTATCTGGCTGCGTATAGTTTTCGAGAAAAAAAATATTTAAAACTCGTTATTTTCACTAAGAAAGTCCTCCATTTTGTTATTGACAATATGTTAGATATAAAGCTACTAAAAGATTTTTTGTTAAAAATACATACATATTTGAAGTCGCACACTTTTCCAAATGGTAATGTCGCATTAATAAAAAACACTGACGCTTCTTCATCTTTGGTTTAATTATTACATTGTAACATTTAAAAACTTTCATATTAAATCAAAAACACGTCTTGTCCACACTTTAAACAAACAAAACTTTTTACAAGAACACCACGACGACACAAAACAATTGAAAAGTACTGAACGATCTGATTGAGATTCTAATAAAATTTTATAAAAAGAAATAAAATATCGCGCACATATTATCCACCATTACAAATACAAATATTAAAGAGGAAATTGAAAAGAGCGGGAAATACTTATCTTTTTAAATTTAATATATGATTAGGTACTCAAATATCAATACAGCCAATATGCTAATATCGATTTCGGAACTCGATTACAAATTTTATAAAATCTTTTTAATCAGTAGTATAAATTAATTTCATGTCTATTTAACACAAATTGATAGGTTTTTTCGTTATTGCACATTTTTATATATCAAGAAGCCTTATCTAATTAAGATTAATAGTGATTTTTTCTTTAATTTTTTTATTAAAATTACGAAGATTTTTCTTTTTACATACGAAATATTCACCTTTCATAAATTTTAATTTTTTGTTTAATGTAAAAAAAATATTCATATTTCTGGCCGTGGAAGAGTCAAATTTAATTATGAATTATTATTTCATTATTAAATTTGACTCTTCCACGTGCTTCGCCAGAACACTCGCTATCGCCCCTGAGTGTCGCTTCACCCACTCGGCCTTCGCTTCGCTTGGCCTCGCGGGCTTGCGCCACTCAGGACCTCCGGCGCGAGGTTCTGGCTCCGCCTTTTTATGTTCACTCTAGGGGTAGGGACCACAAGACCACATGGAGTTGGGGTGCTCTGTGTCGGATCTGTGACTCATTATTTTTTTACAAAAAAATTTATCGATTTTACAATCGATACGAGTATGACGTCACTCGCTACCTATATTTATCATATTGGCAGTACTGTATATTGAGTTTTTGAAGTCCACTTAGTAAAATGGCAGACTTTCGTAGTGAAAATAACAAATTTTAAATAATTTTTACCTCGAAAACTGTGAGTGAGCAGATAATTCTGCGTGTTGATTATTTCATTAGTAATTTTTCTCTATCGAAAAAAGTTTTTTGTTAGCTCGAAAATCAAACTGTGGTAATAGAAATCAATACCATAACTTGTTACAGAAGTTTTTACCGCAGAATCCGCCAAGGCTGAGGCCGCGTCTCTGGAAAGTGTTCGAAACGTCGGGAATCTAATTAAACGCGATAAAATAATTTCAATTCACAATCATTATAGTACTTAAAACAAAAATGTTCTCAGTACAAGTCCGTTTGTTACAATTTACGAAGCTGGTCCAAAATATTCCGAAAATAGAATAGGTGCGTCAGAAACTGACACTGTCCCTATCACCGTAGTGATCTTTAAATTTGACCTCTTCCGAATCGGATTCGTAGTACAGGATGAAAGTAACAAAAATCTTTATTTCGCAATAAATAATAATTTAAACAGCTACTCTGTTTTTATTCATCCAGACATTGGTGCAGAAGTTGTCCTGCCTGCATCATCCTCGCCATATATTTCGAGGCCATCAGATATTGGTAATAATATATTATTAGTATACAATACTTCATAGTAGTTGTAATAACTGAAAACACTAATGTACACTAATCAATCACGTTTCTGCATATAATATCATTTATGTCGTATTGTTTGGTTCCAGGTGTTATCGACGAAAACATTAATGGTACCATCGAGAAGTGGTTAGATGAAGTTTGTAGCAGTGATGACGACTTGGACATTGACGACGCCAATGTTTCCCTTGCGATTGTTCAAGAACGCGATGCCGCGCAAGAACCCGCATGTGACAGTGACTTGACAGTATTTCAAGAGAAAGTGTTACAGAGGGAGGATGTTGCTAATGATAGAGCTTTACGCAATATTCTGTCCGAAGAACTTTGCACTTTCTCTTGGAGTAAGTATAGAAGTACTTTTCTTGGACGACGTGAAATATTTACAGGTACGCCTGGACCTACTTTTACAGTGACTGACCGAACTCGAGCTATCGACATATTTGACAAGATGTTTGACTTCGATTTTATCGACCTTTTATGTACGGAGACCAATAGGAATGCAGAGCAAAAGATAGCTTTAATGCGAAAGCAAAATAAGCTAGCTCCGCATTCCCGATTCAACCGTTGGACTCCTACAAACAGGGACGAAATGGTAAGCTTTTTAGCAATTATTATATTACAAGGTCTTTATCCCTTAACGGAAGAACAAGGATATTTCACTTTTAATGGCTTTGGTACTATGACATATTTTGCCAGAATAATGACGTACAACCGTTTCATGTTGCTAAAAAGCTTTCTCCATTTCGTCAACAATGAGACCTTACAGAGCATGACCAGACTTTGTAAAATACGACCCGTGATCGACTACTTTAATGCTAAATTTTCCAGTCTATATATGCCAGCACAAGAGATAGCTATTGACGAATCTCTCCTGAAGTGGCATGGGAGACTAAGTTTTTCTCAAAAGATCAAGTCTAAGGCCGCACAGATCGGAGTGAAGACGTATGAGCTGTGCGAATCTTCTAGTGGCTATCTCTGGAGGTTTTTTGTATACGCTGGAAAAGACAAGCCAACATTATTTACTAGTGACGGCATCGACGGACGGGATACAGAAAAAGAACAGAAAAATGAGAGACCATTCGCGTTGGAAAGTCTTCACAGATTTGACGAAGACGAGACAAACGACAGTCCTAACAATGATGTAACTATTGTTGCATCGCCTGACAAGATTACGACTGATGAAATCGGTGAGCGTCCCACGAACGCTACTGCTATAATTGTTTACAACTTGATCCAGCCACTACTTCACCGTGGACACACTGTAATAATGGATAATTTTTATAATAGTCCATTATTGCTACGGTGTTTAAAAAAACAAAAAACAGACTGTTATGGAACATTAAGACTGAATAGAGAATTCGTTCCAAATTCGGTCAAGACTTTAACTAAGACAGACTTACGACGAGGCGAAGTAGTGGCCACGTACTGTGACGATTTGTCGATTTTGGTATGGCGAGACGCTAACATTGTTAGTATGATTTCTACATACCACAATCTTCAAATCGGGATTCAAGACAAAAACAACAGACAGACGCACAAACCAAGCATAGTACTCGATTACAACAAGTACATGGGAGGAGTTGATAGGAAAGACCAATTCCTATCAGCTCAACCTTTGGAACGTGCGAGGAATAAAATTTGGTATAAAAAACTCTTCCGTCGATTGTACAATGCGGCAATTTTCAACTGTTTTGTGATATTTACCAGTTTTCACCGGAAAATATCACATCGCCAGTTCCGTATTGTACTGGCTGAAGATTTACTTAGAAGACATAGAAAAATAGATTTAACAACTGACTTCAGACGTTTGAACGTTAGATCGAATACGAGTGGAAAGGTGAAGACGACACAATTAAGACGTAACGCTCGACCCAAGACGCAGGACAGACCGACGATTGAAAGTAACCACTTCCCGATTCGTACAGGGTCGAAGCACACCTGTTGTTCATTGTGCCCTAAAAAGACTAGAACAATTTGGAAATGCGAGGAGTGCGACGTCAATCTTTGTATTGAGGGATGTTTCAAGGCGTATCACAAGTAATAAGATAAATATAATGTTGGCTTAGTGATAGCTCAATGACAGGGCGCTTAGCTTATCACGTGCTCATCGGTAGAGGAAAATGAAGTGAGGATGATGCATGTGTTTTTTTAAATAATAAAAAAAATATTTATACAGGCTGTTACTTTACTTTTTTATATTTTATTACAATATGAAATAAATTAATACATACCAAAAATAAATGTCTATTATTTCAAATAAAATAAAAAGGATATCTTGTATAGGAATATATAACTATTCGTCAAACAAAATATTTCTAAACAGAAACCTTGTGTAAAAACCCTTAGGCGTGCGACCGTCCTTCCGTCATATCGTTATAGAAAACAGTATCAATTTGACACAGGAATAGAATAGGGTGTATGTTTATTGTAAAATACTGTACAATCCAAATACGATTTATGAGTATTGTGTTTGCCTAAAATTAACCAGTGCAAGAAGTTCGGTGTAAAGTGATATTGATGTGATTGATTGATTGATTAAAATGAGCTCTATCACGACCTAGTAACGCCATCTACTACAGGTTTGTAAAACCTCAGGAACAAGGTTCACTCATAATTTGTGCATGAGAAAGCGCTACGCCATCTAGCTTAAAGGGTTAAAATCTATTATTTTAATCGATATGAGCGTGAGTACTTTACATCGGGTCGCCGGAGATCAAGCTCTAAATGGATGCCGAAATATCAAAGAGATGGCGCTACGTGCACCAAAACCAACTAGGAAAAAATTAAAAGTCATCAGAAAATATGCAGCAAAATTTAAGACAGTGAAATGTTGCCAATGAAAGAGGATGCAAAAACAATTGTTATTAATAATTTATACGAAAAATTTACCAATTTAGGGACAAAACAAAATCATTTTGAAACAAAAATTCAACAACAAAGTACAGCGATAAGCAACAAACACGCGACTCAAAAATCTGATTTTGTTTGGTTGAGAGGAACATGAAAAATCATACCATGAGCTAGAAAAGACCATAATAGATCTAATAAATACACAATAACTTCCAGTATAATAATCTTAGTATAGAAGATGTCACAAGACTAAAAAGAAGCCTGCGATTAGACCAAAAAAAAAAATAACTCGGAACAATGGGATTAAAAATAAATGTCTTGAAAAACAAAACGAAATTCTAGAAAATCCTGATTATGGTTGCCACTGGTGTCAGTAAGATGCAGGTTAAAGTAGGAGGAGAGCTGACGGACGAATTTCATATGCAGATGCGTTGTCACCCATGCTGTTTGACCTAGCACTCGAGCATGTTATTAGAAAAATATGCACTGCTAGGAGAAAAGAGTACCATCGTAGAACAGGCGAAAGCTTTGGCAGAGGAGTGTTCCCTGATCGGTCTCAAAATTAATATAGGTAAGACAGAATATTTACACATGCGAAGATACCTGAACATATTAGAGCCGAGGGAAAACCTGGATGTTAATGGCAGTATATATAGATAAAGAGACGAGAGTCCAGAAAGTCAAATACCTTGGCTGCATAATAAAGGACACCAATAGCAGGGAGGAGGAGATTGAATTTCGCATCCAGGGCGCTAGTGTTAGTGTCTAGTAATGCGCCGGAAAATTAAGATCCGTATACAGCGTGTCGTTATCACCGCGACAATAAATGAACACACGTCTAACGCTACTTGACAATCAAAAAAAATATATTAACGTTAAAAAATCCATAATTACAAAAAAATATTTTTCAAACAAACTAATTAAGTAAAAAAGAAACAAAATTTGTAACACCTTATACAACTAGTTTTGACTGATTCATACATTCAGAGACTTTTTAATTCGTTGCCACAGCGTCGCATTACAAGCCTCTCCTTCTAACAGTATATTTTGTCTCTTTTAAATTCATTTAACCCATTCATAGGCTTTGTGACCTTTACAAATGAACTTTTTTTTTTATGCGAAAAGTTGTCAAACGAGCAGACGGTTCACCTGATGTTAAGTGAATACCGCCGCCCATGGACATCTGCCACACTCGAGGGTTACAGATGCGTTGACAACCTTTTGAAAATTGGGCTCCGGCTACTTCACTCACCAAACGAAACGTGAAAGTATTTGTCATACTTCCACTTTACGCTGGTCTTCTGTGAGGTCGTGGTACTTACCCGGACGGGCCTGCCCATTCGTGCAATAGCCCAGGCTGCTGCGTGGCCCTACCACCGTTAACATTAAAGTTTTATACGTAAGGGTGTTCGAAAGTTCTTTGTTTTGGAAAATTTGATAACTCGTCATAAACTTCCCGATAATACATAAAAATTTAAAATTAGGAAATCAAGACAAAAATGAATCAAATAAAAAGAACAAGTTATCTGAGATGAACAATTTTATTATACATGAACCAAAGCGGTGGACGGGCGGCCATCGCGAGATTCTTCACTGAGATTGACACGACCGCACTTGAATGCCGCAAACCAGCTACAAATAGTCGTCTGGCATGGTGCTGCATCGCCAAAAGCAGATTGACCGTCAAAATACACTTAAGATCGTAGAAAATAAAAAAAGGAATTCCCGACTTAAATCCATGTTCATTTAGACACGGAGTTTTTAAATAGGCGCCAATATAGAACTAACCTTTTGCATTTCTTCTGTTGAGTGAGGGGCGGACCCCCTTTTTTATAAGACTGCAGCGCATCTGGAATCCCTTAGTTGATAGGGACGTTTATTTGCGGTAGTAATCACTTGGCATCAGGTGAACCGCTTGCTCGAAGGGCCAATTTTTCTCGTAAAAAAAAACTAATAAATAAAGCCAGGTCGGCTCCATAATATCATGCGAACTTTAGGACCTTAAGACCAAAAGCTATAATTGCATGTGAGGTCTGCTAAGTGCTCAAATAACAGTTCGAAATAATTCACGTGCCTTGCAACCTTTAGTTGTGCTAAAGCCTGATGGAATAATGTGCATGTGTGGACCTATAAGGCTAATTCACTTTATCTATAGAATATAATCTATTAATCTATCTGTGAGCTACGCAGACGGGCTTGACCAACCTTTGGGAGTTACGTGCCATTATAATTCTAAAGAGAGTTATAAAAAAGTTATTCTCTCTGCTTAGCGGTAGAAAAGATTACTTTTCCATCAAGCCTCTTCTGCAATAATAATTTACGCACATATGGTTTTCAACAATCTTAATCGTCCCTTTAAAATATGACGACATTTTATACTCATTACATAATTGCGCAATCATCTGCCCGCCCATATGTAACGCCCGGTTTATGAAACACTGAACATCGAAGAAGTTAAGTAATCAGTTGTCAAATGGCTTTTCAAATGTTAATTAAGTTGCCAAAATTTGTTAAAGTCTCTGAATTGATCACAATGATCAATTTTATGCCAGATTAAAAAAAATTTTTAATTCAAAGAGTTAACCGTTATGATTTTTGTGAAATCTATGTCACCAGCGCAATATTGCCGACAAAACCGTTGGTGCGCGATTTCCCGCGGTTTTCCCGCGGAAAGGCATTTGTGGCGCAGGTCTCCGGAATCCCCTCGCGTGCCGCTTACCTGTACGCATTTCCACTCAATTATAATATTTAGTGATGCGAAATTAATTGCCGTCCCTGAAATACCTTAATTTCAAATGATCAGAACATGCAGCACGCAATTGTTAATAGGTTCAATTTTAGGAAACATTTCTATTTTCGAAAAAATCGTCTGTAGGTACACATGTGTAAACGTCAATGGTATAAATATATTGTAATGAATCGATAATAGAATTTTTTTTTAAATTATTATGATGATACTAATTAAATTATTATTTTTTTTATGTGTAAAAGTGGTAAGCGAGCTGGCGGTTCACCTGATGTTAAATGATACCCGCTGCCCATGAACATTTGCTACTCCCGTAAGGTTGCAGATGGTAGGGCACCATTTAATAAAGTGGCCCAGGCTACCTCACACACCAGACGAAATACAGAAGTATGACACTTCCATCTCGCGCCGGTATTCTGTGAGGTCGTGGTACTTAGCCGGGCGGACCTGCCCATTCGTGCAACAGCTAAAGCTGTTGCGTGGCCCTACCACAGTTAAATGTTACTATATGCTCATTACTTTAACGTGACGTGCACTAGACGGCGCGACGTCGCACGCGCTGTAATTGTCGCATCACTGATGCCTGCTGGCGATAAATGCGCTTTGAATAGTATTACCATGTTATTAGTTCAGGTAAATTACCCGTTATTTAGTAGGTTTAACGAATCGTGCGTGCACGGTGTGCATTTTGAATATTATGGCGTAGGGTCAGAAATCTTTAGTCTTTTTTAGTCTGTTATTAAACATTTTTTTAAATGTTTAACTTAATAGAAAAATCTTCCCGGCATCATTTCTTATTTCACCAAAAAACTTACATTTATTATGAGCAATTATATGACGTAAGCAGTCGATATAAAAAGTAGGAAGAAATGCAAATGTTTGTATTGTATTTACCGTCGGCATAATGAGTGAAGACTTACTGACTTAAAAATAGAATTGTGATGACAGTTTGCAAAGATTAAAAGAGGAATGACTCTCATGTAAAGTTTTCTAAATTTTATAGTGCTCATCCTTTCACTTAAGATGAAATATTAAAATTTGTAGAAAAAAGGACGAAGAGTTTTTCGCCGGTGCGGGAATCGAACCCAAGTCTTCGGGATTCTCGGAAATTCGGAATTGAGAAAATCTTTTTATCCTTTTTTCTAGAAATTTTAATGCAAACTTTTCGTTGAATCTTTGAGACTACATTGCGATTTTGTGTGCAGTCTTAAACAATTCATTATAACTAATGTAAAAAGGGATGATAAAACAGTGATAGCTCAGTGTCCTGGCGCTCATTTATTACATGCACCGATAAAATTATTTATTTTAAGTGCTGACTAATCACTTGCTAGGCGATGAACGAAAACATCGTGAGGATAAGAATGCTGTACAGAGGAGACCTTTGCCCAGCAGTGGGATGTGGATAGGCTGAAACACTACTTTAGAAAGTAAAGTATCAGCCTATACATGTCCCACAGCTGGGCAAAGGCCTCCTCTGTACAGAGGCTATCAGGGCATAGTCAACCAAAGGCCCCACTGCGGATTAGCGGACTTCACATATTTTCGAAACATTTTTTTTGTTATTATTTCAAAAATATGTACGTTTGCTCACGATGTTGTACTTCACCGCAGAGCACGTGATAATTCGGCACTTAAAATTAACAATTTCATTGGTACCGGCACCGGGGATCGAATTCAGGTTGCTCGAGTATATTGAAATAAAAGCGAGCGCCCGGACACTGACTATCACGGCTCTTACTTACACACACTCACACTACTTTACTTAGGACTAAATCCGTGACGCTTGTGGATCGTTGTCACCCTACACAGATTGCCTTTAGAGCAACGTGTTAGCGCAGTTGTGCAACCCGCTCGCCTCGTTGCATAATGGCAATGTGGCGCGCAATGTGACGTGTGTTGCCCTAGCCACGCAAAAGTGTTTTCCGCGCATCGTCATTCAACCATTAGGGAAATTGTCTATGTTTATGTTTACTTACCGGCTCGTGTCAACGCGGTATTATCCTTATTATAATATACCACTTAGTGGTTAGCATGCGACGCGCCGTCTTTTAAGATTTTTCTGTATCTTTTTAAAAATCAAGTTTTCTCTAACAGCACAGCTATGTGTGTGATGGCACATTGCGTAATAATATTGCCACGTTTTTAGAGATTCTCACAACTCTCCGATACAACATTCAAGATTTAAGTAGAAAAACCCCCGCTTTAGTGGCACCAGGTGCTAATCCGAGCAATCGCTAAGAGCAGCCCCCCTGATAAAGGCCATAGATGAAAATTGATGCAGCATCTCTTCGCAAGGGTCAATGCGATTGGTTGGACAGGACCACCGGACGGCGATCGGCGATACGAAGAGTTCTTCGTAGGTTGCGCTCAAATCGAAGGAACTGGTGCTTTGATTGAAAATAGCATTCGATGTGCAGCCGAATATGTGTTGTTTTAAGTTTTTATTTTAAATAAATAAATAAATATTATTAGGACACATTTTTGTACAACGTTCTCCATTTCGAAACTAAGCAATGCTTGTACTATAGGTACTAAATAACTAATAAACATACATTTCTTTTGTAAATAAATACATATTATATCATCACACCATATTTCCCAGTAGTGGGGATCGAACCCATACTCTACCGTAAGACGCACTATGCTCTACGTCAGTTGTATGTTTATAAAGACTTATTACATAACATAATAATTGAGTGTTTTCGTATTATATGATAAATACCAGTTGCCGAATGAGTCAAAGAATCGGCGTTTCCTGCGTTGAATTCGGCGCAAAAGGACTTCAACACTACCATTTCGCCAAGATTAATATTCGTCGTTGCGAAATTTAAATGTTGGGCACTTTCAGAAGCATAATTTACTGTATTATAATAAAGACACGTTAGGTTTAAAAGAATTAATAAATATATTAGAAATATCAAAATAAAATAAAACAGGCAGTCATGTGGACTGCCGACAGAAGTGAAAACATAAAACAATATCAAAATTAAAATTCTATAATATTTAATTATACCTAT